ACGCGAGCTCTATGCTCCACATAACCCTTCTCCCATCCTTGATGTCGACACCATCTCTATCACCATCCCAGAGTTGGATGAGTGCCCCCCTGATCCACCTGTTCTCAACCCCGACAATTGGGTACCCACCGAGGTGGTCCCACACCTCTCTCTTAGTTCTCCGGAACCTCTTCCCACTCCGCAACGCCGAAATCGCCGTGCTCGTGCACAATCCATCCTGTCCCTGGGACTACCCCTCTCCCATGCACATCGCCCGCGCACCCAGAACTTCACTAGGCACTATCCTTGTGAGGAAGCCCAGGAAGACGCCATCAACGACGCACGTCGTGATGCCACCGAGACCACCCAGGTCTACCGCAGCAACGTTGTCTGCCGCCAGTGCCGTGTCTTTGGACACAAACAGAAACACTGCGCGCAATACTTCTGCCGCATTTGTGGGCAATTTGCCCCAAAACATCTCACTCCCTTCTGCCCTCGACTCGATGGCAGAAAGATCCTTCGCCGTGGAACCTCTTCTGACCGGTTCTACAGGGACATGTGCCAGCTTGAAGCCACGTATGACCAGGACGCTGCTCGCCTTGAGCAAGAACGTGAAGAGAACGCAATCGAAGCCGCCTCCTGGCTCGAAGACCTCGACTTCGACCCCGAGTGGTATAACAACCAGGACGACTACGTTCCCCTGGACGACGATTAAGAGTTCGTGGAACTCTACCTTGAAACGGGGGTAATGTTACAAGTAACACCGGCTACATGGCCCCCCTATCATTTTTCCCCTTCGTCCTCGCCCTCGTATGCCTTCGGCTCGTACTTCTCTACCAACTATCCGTTGACCGGATCCTCGGGACCGTTCCTGTCCCTCATCCCCCTCCTATCGCACCAACGTGCGCACGTGCCTTCGGGCTATGACTCGTTCTGACTCGTGCCACCAATGTGGCTTTCCTTATCTTGTCTTACCTTTCCTCTGACTCATGCGTGCTGCGCATTGTATCATTTACCATTGTCTCGTTCCAACGTTTCTCGGTCTCATTCCGCATTCGACCTCACATCACTAATCAGGCTCTGCTACCAGCGTACCTATACCCTTTCCATTTCCCCTTTGCCCTTACCTACAGTATGGTAGCCTTGCCCTTAACCCTTTCCACTTAGTATAAGTAGTCGGTCACTCTGTACTAGATTCCCTAACTTGAATCTACTCAATCTTCCCTCGAACATACTTCCCTCTGAAGCCCCCTCAGCTTCAGTCTCTAGTATCTTTTCTTAGGTGCTCTTCGCGCCTAAGTCTACCTCGATCGACTACTCATCGTTCGGACAAGACTGTCCTTACTTTGGGAACATCAGTGACTTTGAAGACATCCATCTTAGAAGTCACGTGACACACGCGTCTCTGATATCTGCCGACTCGATGTCGCCAGTCTCAGTCGCTAGACCGGACCCTTCCGGTTATGTCACGAACGTTAGCGGACGATGCCCCTCTTAGGGCTCCGCATAACAGACCTATTTGAGTGCGTAACAGTAACAGTGTGTCACATGCAATCCACAGTTGCCTCTATACACAGAGGTATAGTACTTTTGTTATGCTTTATCACATGACATTTGCTGAAACAGTGCAAAGTCTACCTTACAAAAAACAGCAATTGTAGTGGCCCTATTCTATCACCAAATCTAGATAATACACCTCACATTCTAAACTTGATTGGCAATGCCAAAGGTCACTCTATATTTTTTCAAATTTCAAGGCAAAACTGCAAACAGCTACCTAAAGGACCATTAATGTTTTATATGACTCTATATAAACTGCAATGTCACAACAAAACACACTATTGCTGTAGCAGGAATTGACTTAGAGCTCATGTAGTAAGCCAAAATTTCAAAATACAAAATTTCTGTTGATTTCAGCACAGTTTCGGCCATGGGCAGAGTCTAAAATCGACATAATCACCCTTATTAATATACTCTACAGTATTCTGCAATCCTGTCACTACTTTCATCATGGATGATGGGTCTGTGCATATTCAGCCTCATAATTGGTGAATACTGGGTCCCTTGTTGACTAATTGCTTGATCCCACAACACCTTCTCACTCCAAACACATTCTAGCCTAGCATGTGGCACAACAAAGAATCCATGAGTGAATGCTTTGCTATGTTGTCCTTCTAATCAGTATACTCATCGCTGCAACTGCACAGATAGTGCTACCAGCAGCATGAACTCCCAAAGACCCTGAGCCATACCATACTTCAGCACTTTCTGGACATGAATAGGTTCTGGAGCTTATCATTGGCCATCCCGAGCACATCCACTGTGAGCTTGGGGTGCACATACATGTATTTGAGAGTTTGATAAATGAGCTTCAGGATATTGGTCACACAGACTCGTGATACATCTTACTTGAAAAACAACTTGCTATCTTTCTCTACTCTTGTATGATAGGACTGACCATCTGACAGTCATTGAATGTTTCCAGCATTTAAATAATATTGTTTCTCAGTATGTTTAATTTTTAATTGAAACTTATCAGTTCTAATACCCCTGTAGGTACTTTTGCAAAATGCTCAATATATCTGCATCACACTCATTCTACCAGAAATACATATCTTTTCCTAATGCTAATGACTCTGTCCCTGCTGAAATTCACAATAATCCCAAACATTGGCCTTACTTTGAGGGTGCTATTGGAGTGATTGACGGCAGCCATATCCATACATTCCCTCCCACAGCTAAGTGCCATGTATATCATAATTGCAAAGGCTTTCTTTCACAAAACTGCCTTTTTGCATGCAGCTTCAACCTACTTTTCATGTATGCACTGACTGGCTGGGAAGGATTGGCAACTGATGTGCAGCTCTGGGATCAAGCACTTAAAGGTGGCTTAAAGATACCTGCTGATAAATATCTATTAGTGGATGCAGGGTTGCCTTGCTGTGATAAACTTCTTGTTCCTTACCATGGTGTCCGATATCACTTGGCTGAATGAGAATGTGCTGGCACCAGGTATTTTTCACTCATTTTTTTTATTCAAATCAAACTAATACATGTTTTTTCAGACCAGTCAACAAAGAGGAACTCTTTAACCTTTGACATGCTACAGCACAAAATGTCATCGAACAAATCTTTGGTGTCTTAAAATGACACTTTCAAATCCTCCTCATATCTACAGAGTACAAGATGGATATACAAGCTTGCATTCCGGCTGCCCTCTGTGTTCTACATAACTTCATCTGTATCCACAATCCATCTGAAGACCTGCTCCCACCATCAAGTGTCATTAATGACAACCTGAGCCATCAAGGATATGCTACAGCAGATGAGCATAGACCACACACTCAAGCTGCAAATGCATGTCATGATCACATCACAACACAGATGTGGGACAACTATCTACCTTTCATACACGACAATGAGTTAGGTCCTATTTGGCCAACAAATATTCAATTGAAATTCACATTCAATCATGTGACCTTATGTTTGAACCTTGGGATCTGGCTTGATCTACTATTGAATGTGACAAACATATATATGTGCTTTAACTGATAATCAATGATAAATAACGACTTTACAATGACCACCATGGCAATGTTAAACCAGCCTGACAATGTGCATGTCCAAGAAGACCGCATGTGACATTTAATGCTCATACTATGTCTCGCTGTCACACAGGTACTAATTTACTATCAACAAATGTTTCTATCTCCTCATGAATGTGTGCCCTACCACACATCAGCCTTGTTGGGTGAGGCATAGATGTTAGAACTCATCACAGGCTACCCAGATCGCATCTGACACAATCTCAGTGTCAGTCTAGACGTCTTCAACAGTTTATTGCAAGTTCTCCATGCAAATGGATTTGCACCATCTCGCAATGGAGTTTCGGTGGAGGAACAATTAGCAATATTTCTATATATGTACCTGTGTAACTGGGCTCTCGACTCGCCTCATTGGAGAGAGATTCCAGCGCTCATCTGATATGATTTTGCAGTGAGTCATGCTGGCATCTCAATCATTCACAGAATGTTGACTGCTGCACTCTTGAACTTGTAGATACTTCAAACATATTCTGTTTGTCTTATCTAGCCCACCATTTTATTCCTCAGAAGTTCAGTTCCCCACAGCCAATACCCCCACTTCCTCGACAGTATTAAATGACATCCATTTGCGATATTTTGACCAATGTCTTGGTGCCATCAATGGCTCCCACATCCTGGCATTCACAAGCATCAAGGATCAACAGTTCATGTGGAACCGCAAGGGGTTCACATCTCAAAACTGCCTTTTCATGTGTGACTTTGAATTTTTATTCATTTATACACTCTGTGGGTGGGATGGTTCTGTTGCTGATGTGGCACTCTGGAATGATGCACGCATGCACAATCTACCAATTCTGCCTGGAAGATACTTTTTGGCTGATGCCAGCTTCAGAGCATCTGATGCGCTACTCGTTCCATACCGTGGTGTCTGGTATCATCTTAAAGAGTGGCGGCAAGCCAACCTCCAGTATGTCGAGTACTATATTCATAAGCTCCAGCAGTCCCTGATGATGATCTCAGCCCTCAGAATGCAAAAGAACTATTTAATCTTCGACATGCAAGTCTCCACAACATAATCGAACACATTTTCAGTGTGTTTAAGCGCCAGTGGCAAATTCTCCAACAGCCGGTTGAATATAGTATGGATGTTCAGGTGTGAATCCCAGCAGCACTATGCACTCTCCACAATTTCATTCACAGACATGATCCTAGCATATACGACGAAGAACTTGATCATGCAGAAGGTGAAGAACTTGAAGATATAGCATATGGTGAGTTAGCAGATGAACCTGCAGATGCCGCAGAATGATGACGAGCAGATATGTGTTGCAACACAATTGCCCATGCAATGTGGGACGACTATGTAGTAGAATGCGCACAGCATTGATGCAGACCAGCACTCAAATTGTAGGCATACAACATTGATTGAAAGATATTACATGCATGTGATCACTACTTGCTACAATGATTATGACTTTATGACTGAGTTGCAGCGTGAAGATCAGCAAGCCACCTCTGCACCCACATCAACCAAAGGCTCTCATCCATATTAAGAAACTTCACGACGTGCTTGTCGTCTTGTCCAAGGAAGTCTATAACATCAATCCTTTCATCACTAGATAGTGTTGCACACTGGGAGACCATGGAGATGGCACAGCCAAAGTCTTCCATGGAAGCTCTTGCAGATGTTCTGGCAAATATTTGCCATATCTCCTCCATGGTGATTGTGAGGTTGTTCATTGCCTTGCTACCATCATGCTGGGCCTGTACACTTGCTGAAACAGGTTGAGACCACTTTGATGCACTCATAGCAGCCTCTGAGTCTATCGCACTAACTTTGCACTTATCTTGGTGGCTGACACTTGTGAGCACTGAGGACATAGCTCCCAAGCCAGTAGTAGTAGTCTGAGCTGCAAGAAATGTGGATGGGACAGCAGATAATGATGGTGGAATGTCTTGTGGCAAGCCACTAGCAGACTGGATGTGAGATGGAATAGAAATGATTTCATTGGTAGCTGCAGTCAGCTGGCTGAGGTTTAATGTGGTAAGTGGTTGTGGTGGTGGCACAGTACTAGCCTCGGGAAGAGCTACAGCAGAGACAGCAGAAGATGCAGTGCCAGCAGGCTGGCCAGAGTCATTGTGGTGGACCCAAGTGCCCTTGCTCTTTCTTGGCAATATCTGGTGGATGGCATCGAAATGAGGGAATCCTGTGTTTTTGAATGAGCTTGTATTCTTATGACTCTTTAAAACAATATACTAGTCGAGTACTACTAGTACAATCCACTGCCATTGCACACCTTGAGAAAGTTTATCCAAGTAGATTCATACTCCAAAGTAATTCCTGCACCATCTATATCACTTCATGCAAACCCAGATGCATTCTTGATGTCCACAACAGCATGATAAGAACTTTTGAGCTATGGTAATTGTTGTCAGATCAATATAGAAAAGAAACAGTGTCGAATGCCAGGCAGATAGCATGCAGTGCATATGCCACAGTGACTCACTTTTATCCACCTAGTTTGACAGCTTGATTGTGTTTTCTCGCCACCCAGTTGCTCAGGAAACCTCTCCTTGAGATGAGCAGCAGTACCATGCCAAGTTTGCTTCTTGAAGTTTGTCCCATCACTGGGAATGTGGAGGCAAAGGTATTCAATCAGAGCTGTGTCTTCATCTGTAGTCCACTTGGCACCTTGTTCGCAACGTGTGGTGGCAGAGTTGCTGGCTTCAACAGGTCCTTTAGACCGAAGGGAGTGCCCTGATCCCATACTAGATGAGTTAGATTGTGGCATGATAGTGGGAGTAAACAACGATGAGTGGTGGCACAATCTGGGATTCTGCCGAGGTTCAAATGTAAGGTCACATGATCGAATGTGAATGTGAATTTCAATTGAATATTTGTTGGCCAAATAGGACCTTAGAAGATATTCCACACATTTTAGATATTAATCTTTATGACAGGTGCCAGTTTGTGGAGACAAGAGCAGAATAGATTCAGTTTTTTGTAGCTAGTACTACAATTAAAATGTGGTGCCACAAGGCTACTTCTAACAGTGAGAACTACAAATGTAAGGTTAGATATGAGAGCTACAAAGTGGAATTCTCTTGTCTGGCATAGGTAATTAAAGATTGTAAAAATGCAATGTGCAGGTCGCAATCATCAATGTCATGAACTGAATCACATGCCACTGGATTTTTATGAGAACATGTGTCAAAATCACTTTCTCATTCTTCGAAAACTCTGGAGCTGACTAAACTTACTTTGATGTGTGTAACCTATGCTCAGCCACATGAGTGTCCTCAGTAGTGTGCAAGTTTGTATTTAATGAGTCCGATAGGCAGTTGATGGTGCCCTGAAGGTTCATCAATACAATGGTGTTGGCAACATCCTCAGTATTCTTCTTGCTCCTGCTTGTGCTTTGGCATGTCTTGCCACTGATGGTTGCAAGCCTGGGCTTCTTATCTGATTCTGGCTTCGTCTGTGAGACCAAAGTCCACATAGTGGATGAAGGAGCTGAGGTACTGTGATTCATTTCCAAATGCAAGCACTTGCCAGCACTAGAGCCTGAAGATGGGGGATGGAGCATGCTCATAGGAGGCACAATGGCAGTACCACTGCCTGCTGAAGGAACTGGAGGAGGAGTGCCCCATGTAATGTCTGGCTGGGCCATGCAAGTGTCAGCTGAAAGGATATCTGGAGTATTCATGTGACATCTGACATGTTCACATCGGTGCCGCAAGGTGCACTACTTGTGCTGGCTACCAGTTGTTCATTCTCAGGTAGAGCTGAAAGAGCAGGATGATAGGTAGCAGTGCCTTGCACAGAGCTGTGAGAAGGGTAGTGCTGCCGAAGTCAAATTCTGTCTAGTTTTTTCAAGATAACTGAGAACCGAGAACCAAACCTCAGTCAAGTTCACACAGGTAGGGTGGACTCTGGGCTGAACCACTTTGAATGGGTTCACAATGATCAGGTTCAGGTTCAGACCAGTTCGAACTGCCAAATGTGATATAATATTTTGCAAAATTTACCAAACGACCTACAAACAATTGTAGGCTAATATGATCAACTATTCAACAACATTTTTAGGAGCAACGAGCTCAGCCTAAACCATTGCTAAGATATGGCCTTGACAGTATGCGCTCTTCAACAGTTAAAGTGCCTTGAATGTCCTTGGCAGCAAGGAGTTACGATGTGTGGTCCTGGTGATGCCACCACTTTAAAATGCCCATTCAAATGGAACTGCAGACCCCTGAATGGTGAGGTAGTCTTTTGTGATGTGAGCCATCATAGGATATTGAATAGAGTGATGTTTTGAAGAAATAATTGTCAGCTTGCACAGAATATCAAGGATACAAGTGAAGTGAACTTACACCCCACCATGCTACTACATTTTTGACATCCTCCAGTGGTGCAGCTAGATAATCCTCGAGTTCCTGATAAGGCCATTGAAAAGCTGTGTCATAGGAGACATAAGCTTTGATTACATTGTGCATCCAGCTATGGCCATACAAACTTTGGTATGAGAGGGATGGTATAGTAACAGAATGTATCACCATGGTAGATGAAGGAGCGGCATAATAATACTTATTAAACTAGATACTAAGTTAGTGCAAAGACAATTTATTAAGAGACCCATGGACTTACCACATCTTCGAGCTATTTCACACCATCAGCAAAGTCTTGAGACGCCCATTTTGCCTTAGCATAGGCAAGTTTATAGTTGAGGTCAAGGGCTACATGAAAGTAAGAGTCCCATCAAAATGAGAACATGTGAATTATGAATGGGGTATATACTAAGGCAGATAAAATAGACATCTGTGTTGTTTGTCTTTCAATACCACTTACGAAGATTGTCGAGACCAGATATGATGGATGCTGAAAGACTGTCAAATTTTAATGTGCAAGCCATGCTTTTCCAAGTCTCTTGAAGGTATTCGAGAATAGGAATGGTGCGCCAGACTGTAGGCTTCTGAGTGGCTGAGAAAGTCTGTTGAGCATTGGCAGGCTCCTATGCAGTGTTGTGCAATTTAATAGAGAAGGTAAAAAAAAACAGTTAAAGGAACTGACCTGCAGCATGTCTCAAATCAATTCTAACTTCAGCCACTCCTGTTGTGTGAGCTTGAATGCCGAATATGTTTTCCCTTGTAAATTGGGGACTTCTTTGCTGTCATTAGCGAGCTGCATGAACCTATTTACTCCCTGTTAATTCAAATCAATTAAATAGAACAGAATATTTCAAAAAATACAACAAACCTTGGATAAGTGGATCACTCACTCCAGCATTTTAAAGAGTGATGCCCAACATGTTCGAATCCATTTGAGGAGTTCAAGAGTGGGAATGTCAACCTCAGCACAGCACTTCTTAAAGAAAACACAAGCTTGCAGGGACTTTTGTATTTGTGTGACAAGTAAAGAGCTTTACCAACAGTATCAGCAATAGTCAAAATCAGTCTTGTCATCATCATTATCGTCTTCTGCTGTCTTCTTGAGTAAAGCACTTGTCGATATTGGAGCAACCCTCTCAACAAAATGTTTTGCTGCAAGATGCAGTGCATGTTCCATACAATGGACATGATGTTCAACTGGGTCCCAGTCGATACCAGAAGGGTTGATAGCCTTTGCAACAATTTGAATAGCAGTATCATTATTTATAGTGTTGTCAGCTGTGAACCAGCCAACCTATGATTGAACAATTAGATAAACATTAAGTACAACAATATCAATGCTCACCTTTTTGTGTATATCATAGTTATCAATGACTTCAATCAAAATGCCACTAATGTTGGCACTGCTGTAGTTACCCTCAATGGGCCTAAAGGCAAGTTGCTCCATCTTAAGCTGCCATTTCTGAGGCTTGTCAGCAGGTGAATCAATATAATGTGCCGTGACAGAAAGGAATGGGTCACCTGGTTCAGACATCCATGAGTTGAATGTCATTGAAATCTTGCTGTCAATGTGCTAAGACTAATCATAATAAGTGAAAAGTAGGCAATCATCACAATTAATACTTACTGCTAGTTTGTCCTTGACTTGTACGACAGCAAGTTTTGCTCTCTCAAGAATCTCATCTCATGTCTTAGTGTGGTGTGGAATATCTTAATCTGAAAGACTTGGCCAAAGGTATTGAAGGAGGTGGCTGAAATGGTCCTTTGTTAACAAGCTGAAATGCCTGCAATTGTGTGAGGACACATACATGAAACAAATAATGAAAGTTGCAAACCTCATCCTCAGCAACAATGAGCTCTATGACATGGTTAACAAGGCCTAACTTTGAAAATTGAGGTGGCTTTGGGATAAGGGCACAATCAAGAGTTCACTGTCCTCCATCAGATACTTTGATGTTCATGGGAATAGCACACACTGACATGCACCAAACCTGGTTTGTACATGGTCATGGCTACTTTTCATCCTTGAAGTTCTTTATTTTGCTCTATGAGTTTATCATCAATTTTCTACACTACCTTAAGATTTATTTGATTAAATTTTCAGACCTGAAGACCTTACATTACAACTTAATAGTTCATATTAATACTTATCTGGTTCAAAGATTGGTTACAAACATACCACAACAGATTATTCAGCATTTCTCATGATTTCTTACATTTTACCACACATTTCTCACAACTTTCTGTATTAGTCAGATATTTGAGTGGAGAAAGTTTATAGATGAGAATATGTGAGAAGTGAATAAGTCATCATGGAACATCTTGACAATGGAGTCACTATGAGTCATATCTGTTATGACTCATTTTGAGTCATATTTCCTTATTTAGATAGTTACACAGCCACATTTAGAATAGTATATAAGAGATTCTGTTTCTCCTCTGAATAATAGATGCCCTCTTCTTGAAAGATTCCCTTTTGAGAAGAAAGGAAGATTTGAGTATCTTCCTAAGTTTCTCACCCTATATTTGAGTGAATATCTGAGTGAATAGTAGTTTATTCCCTCCATTCATTTATCATCATTTCCCACAATATACTGATCTTCTGAGGCCTACCTTGAGCCAATCCTTAAATTACACTAGCTAGTACATGGTTATCAGTCGTCTAGTTGTAGTTTTGTCATTCTCTTTACAACACAGGATATCTTTTCTGTGGGGAGAATCTACATATTTCTTAAAAATTAGGAAGGAAGACAAATAAGACTAGCACTTTACTCAACAATATTAAGAGCTTGGCTGCTTTAAGACTACATCAAGAAGGTGTACTCTGTTCTGACCTGTGTCATACTCATTGTGCAGTACCTGAGCAGCAGAGAAGTTAGTTTCAAAGCCACATATTTCAGTTGATTCGATTGTGTTAGAGGCTTAGTTTAATCTCCTCTGATTTTGAGAATAGGGAGTGTTTACAAGATAATACTCTGATTCACTGCATATCATCGCAATCCATTATCCTCATCTTATCCTTGCATATCTTTGCAACCATCTTCTTGTAGCATTGTAGCACTGCATCAAGCCAGTTATCAATTCGGTTACACCATCATCTATCAATCCTTATCATCTGTGTCCTAAGTACTGCATCAAGCCAGTTAACAATTACAGTTCCTAAGATTTACCCTAATCTTACCCCTTTCAAAGTCATTAGGAATTTGCTTGTTTTGACAAACCCAACTTTTACACCTCCTTCCACGAACGACCACATTATCAACCATTGGTATTTGTCTGAACCATTGACTGTGGAGGATAGTGAGAACTGGTAATTTTTATTGCCAATCACATCCACAGCGCATGCATGATGATACCTTTCTCCTCACAGTGACTCTTGTATATTGGAAAGTGGCAGTTTGGATGGCTGGTTGGATGATTAGCATAACTCAAACATACTTGAGAAAAACTTACCGAGCAATGTGAGTATGACAGGTAGAAATGCTACCTTTGAAGAAACAATTTTGAAGAGGCACATTTGTGTCCCTATGAGACAGAAGGCAAATTAGTAAAAAGATACTCAGAAACAGGGAAGAGAAAAACATACTTGCAAATGTTACACCACTATCCATCTTCACTTTCACTAGTATGTATGTTCTTGTGACCCTTTTCCTCAGTAAATATTGTCTGCAGATCTGCCATCCACTCATCTTTCTTCAAACTTTTGCAAACCTAGAGGTTTGATATTAGGATAGTAGGAGAAAGTTTGAAAACATACTTACATCTCAATCAGCATCTCCAAATGCTTTAATTTGCTGGTAAGCTGCCCCAGCTTCCTTGGCTTCTTCATCATCCGACTCATCCTTGTTGGTAGGTATATCATTGTCATCATCGCCATCACCATCATTGTCACCAATTGTAGAAGAGCTGGTTGCAGGGACAAGTGGGTGCTTGGTGGCAGGGGGCATGGTGGTAGTACCTGAATGTTTAGCTGGAATGGCACCTTTGCAGAAGGCTTGATGGGTCAGCCAGAGCAACGACAACCAGCAACACATGTTGCAGGTATGCCCATTTGGCCTATGAAGGAGTCCAGGGTATGATGAGAGGGGCCGGAGGACAAAGCTTTAGAAGAGGATTCAGGATGGGGAGAGATGGGCATGTCATCATCAGCATCATGATACCATTGAATTTCAGATGTGTCCTTCAAAACACCATTAGCATTAACTGCAGAGTTCAATATATTTTGATGAATGAACTAACCTTGGATGCACCCCACCCTTTTATTCCTTGCTGATGTTTTGCATAAGACCAGAAACAAGACATGAATATTCATTATGATTGATTGTGTCGGTGATGATTGTGCCAGTGACAATTGTGCCAGTGATAATGTCTCCAGCAAACTTACTAATGTGTTGACAGTGAGCATCTTTTGAACCTGAGGATCATGTCAGTTGATCATTATGAGTCGCAGAACAGAAGCAAACTTACAATGTGAATGATGGGTTCAGACTGATTCAGACTCATCCAAACAGGTCCAACATCCATTCAAGACTGGCCGAACAAAGAACCTCAGACACCACCAACATCACGTGATAGAAATCATCATGCTGCAAGCATTTTGAGGGAGAAAAGTGTTACATTGGCTAATTTCATAGGCTATACAACCTTAGACAAAAATCAGTTTCCGGGTGTGACAACTAAGATAACTCCCCCACCATTCCCCGGAAGCAGAATTTGATTTACTGTTCAATATATGGAGAAATAAGATGAGTTGTACTGAGTCTTTAGCTGACTAAGCTGAGCCAAAGTACATTATCATGAATCAATACATTGCCAGACATGGGTAAATGGAGTCATGCAGACTCGGCCTCCCATGCATAGGTTTGCTACACATTCATTATAATTTATAGATGCCTACTGCAAGGGTTTAGATGAGTAACAAGCAGCATTTAATGCCATGAAGAAATATTGTGGTCACCACACTCCGAGTCTCCCTTTATCAGTTTTTGATGAGCTCAATGAGCTCAATTAATCATCCATACTTCTATATTATACACACATATACACAACATATACATAGCATTACTTATTTATGATATAGTCCTTTAGATTCTAACTTTTATGCTGTGTCACAATTATTATCCCAGCGCAATGGTCACTCAATGGTCACACAGTTGTCACATCATGTGATGTTAGTGGTGTTTGAGCGAGGCCTATCTTAGGTAGGGTTTGGTCCTGTATTGTATGTTGAACCACTGACCAAACAGTGGTTCTATTCACAAAAGTTCAGGTTCAAACCTAGGTTCAGGACTAAACAGCAGCAGCACTAGAGAAGGGAGGATTTGTTCCATCTTGGAGTGGTGGGGCCAACCAGTAGTCTTGAACTGTTTCATGACTCCATTGGACTGTCAATAGATAATAAGGATTGTGTTCAATAAAATTGAGTGATACTATCACGCACCTTCTTGCCAATATGGTCCACCCAGACAGCTTCAGCAGCAGGGCCATCAATGTTGGCCCCACACTCATTGTCCCAATGACAACCTGATTTGTTGTGATATGCCTAGATAGTGTATATGTATGTAAGCTTTAACTACATGGATATTAGTATACTGATGGTGGCAATCAATGTAAGATAAATACCGACATCCATTTGTTTTTGCACTGAGGCCCTGTCTTTGGGGGCCCACTTGCTTGCAATCTGTTGTGCAGTTTCATTGAAGGTCACATCCTTGAAGGACATTCCTGCCATTGCTGATTTGACTGGTAAGAGATATGTAAGGAATGCATCAATTTCATTGGGGTTCCACTGGGCCTTTGGCTGAGCATTCTTCTTTTATCATCTTGGCAACCTGCAACTGAGTGCAGAGGATGACAGCAGTGACTGCAAGTACAACATGCTGGCATTGGAGATCATCTTGGGACTTGAATCTCCTAGCCATGATCAGAAGGAAAGACATTTCAATCTCAGCTTGTGGCTGGTACCATGCCAGGATCAACAGAACTTTCATATTTCAAAAATTTGGCTTATATTATCTGGTAGTGCTACAGGCATATGTTCTTGGGATGGTATCGAGAACTCGACCTGACACAACATACCACACGAGACGAAATGGATGATAATGCATTGCCAATCGCTTCCATAGTTCAACTGGCTTCCATGTTATAATGCAATTTTCTTTTCACCAATCATATTGGAGAGACGTACCATACTGGCTGAAAGTGACAGCAAAAGGCAATGGGTGGCTCTGTGAAAAAGAATTACTAAGCATCGCAATCACGAAAAAATATGGCCCACCTCGACAAAAACATCTACGCCATGTCCGCCATTAGTTAGTTCCACTCTCATATAAATTCCACCTAATGTTTTTTCTTCAGCGAATACACCGACTGGTCCCATGTTACTAACCAGGTGATCGCCGTGGATCTTTAACTCTAAGCATTAATGCAAAGAGTGGAAAATAATTCATAAACGCAAGCGCCGTCTCCAAACTCGCATACACTAGAATAATCGACACGCGCATCTTGTTGTACACAAGTCAGCTAACATACTCCACCAACACCAATGCTAAGACTCACGGTAGCGAACAAAATATAGTACACCAGAACGGTGGGAAAGAGATAAGCAATCAGTGTGAAGAGAATAGTCCCCAAAAGTAGCTGGTCGACATCATAGTCCCAAGGATCCGTCCGATTCCTTAGCACGTTATGTCGTCGTCCTTGAATCGTGTTATTACTAGTTCTCATTATAGGACCGCGGAAGGTCACACCTCGAAAAAGATTCCAAAGCGATGCCGCCAAGCGTAACAAATGACCATACACAGTCACCGAGACCAAATAGCACAGTTGTACATGTGCCATAAAGACGCAGATAATATCACACACCATGGCAAGCGCCATCGTCACCCCAAACGCACTCCCCAGCTCCAGCGCACCCAATAATATGGGAATGAGTGGTATGACGGTTCGGAAACCTCCTGCGTGTCAATGAGAGTTGACAGAATATCGTGCAAGGCCGGACGTCAGTACGCACTGTTCCAAAGTGCAATCAGTCCCATAAAGCTGTGCGAATAGAATCGGCTGAGTTCGGTGTTCAGCTTAAGGCCTGCAGGCCAACTGTCGAGCCACAGAAGGATCTGTCGTATTTCATGCACGGCCTTGTCCTGCGTATTTATGTCAGAAAGAGTGTGGTGCGATACTCGACAATTCAAACCTCGAAGACAAGCTTGAAAAGGTGCAGGAAAGCCTGACGGTCCTGCCGTAAAAATTGACGAAGCGCAATCCCAATGATAAGATCATTCAAAATGATCCAGAGGGTGTTATAAAATCTTTGAAAATTTTTGAGTATATTACTCAAAAAGGAACGAAAAGGGACCCGGACTCGATGTACTGAGAGGACTTCAGTCTCATGTCCCCGTTTGGAACAGGTTGCACCCCTCGAAGCAAGCGACGCAACTTCCTCGCCCTAGATTCAATCTGTTGGACTTGGTGCAAGCTGGATATTAGATCCTGGTACATAATACAATGCATACCTGCGATGCTAAATTCTCTTGAGTAGACGAAGACAAAGGATGCGACACGCCAGAAAAGATTCGTCGAACTTTCGATTGCGTCGATTGTACAATGAAATTTGGCTGTAAAATTTGAGGTCTCTTTAAAACGAGCGCTGTGCTCTTGGGTGTCAATAGTCTGACCACGCTGCTCGTGCTCTATGAACTGCTCGAGAAATTTTGCAGAGTTCCACTGCAGCAGTCAAACTCGAGCACAGGTAATTATTAGAACACATACTTGATTGACGAGGATCTGCCATGTATTCGACGCGCTTCGCAATGATGTGGTATGCGAAAAATCGTGCTTCAAGCTCCAACGCAAGACCTCATCCTGAAGCTCGAAAAGGCGTGTTCCATCCGAGTCCAAGGCATAAAACCGCAAAGAATGTACATCATGACGATGGTAGTATATGTATGTAGTAGAGTGTGCCCTAACATCAAAGTCAGTTGCATATCGGATATGCGAGGAGTATCCGACCGTGAGGAACCGCAGAACATGTCGACATCCGGTTGAGGGTATGATGACCTCGCGAATGGACTGAGTACACAACGTCCGAGAACTCGTGGAGCCCCACAAATTTCAATCAGGGCTTGTGTTTCTGCGGAACGAGCGACACGCTGGAGTAGAGCTTCTGCATGTGAGTCCTGTGCGTGGGCCATCAATCAATGGCAAATATTGTGTGACCATCTGACGTACCTCCTCGGCCTCTAGCACACCTGCGACACACAATGTAGGATGATCCCACCCATAGCAGAACCCGCTTTTTGCGACATCGCATGGCCAGAAAATGGATGACATGCCCTACCTTGTTATGCAACTGGCCGTATATACATCATCACCACGTGACCAGTACATTCAACGCGTTTGGAATTGTCCGCTGTGAACGAGTAACGAGTTGCAGACTTCCTGAAGACTTACTCTATCTGTTCCAGCTCGCTGTCTATCCCGTCGCTCGTCTCTTCATATATTTCTCACCCAAACCATAATCCTAACTGGTGCCAATGGACTCAAGAAGACCCGACATGAAGAAGAAGCTAGTAGTGGTTGGAGATGGTGCGCGGACCCTTGCCCTTGTCTCTTCAGTGTCCGTGCCCGCGCTCAATCCACTACACTCAAGGCGGATGCGGGAAGACTTGTCTCCTCATCGTATATGCAGAGAATAGATTCCCCGAGGTACGCATGAGTTACGCCTTATCATTCATTCATATGTACTCATTCACATTTCCAAACTCAAATTTACGCATGACTGCAGTCTTACATACCCACTGTGTTCGAAAACTACGTCACGCAAATCCAATTCGACGGCAAACTGGTAGAGTTAGCACTTTGGGACACCGCAGGGCAGGAAGAATACGACCGACTACGACCACTATCCTATCCAGAATCCGACGTCATCCTTATCGTATTCTCTATCGATTTTCCCGTCTCCCTAGGAAACGTGCAAGATAAGGTATGTTGTTGAGCAGCGTGTCAAGCGCAGTTGTGTTGACCAACATCCCAGTGGTACCCTGAAGTTGCCCACTTTTGCGAAGGAACACCTCTTATCCTCGTTGGAACCAAGACTGACCTGCGGCGGGACGAACAAACACGACGGATGCTTGGCGCGCAGGGTCAGGTGCCAGTGACACCCGAGCAAGGTGGGATGGTGGCGCGGGAAATCGGTGCCAAGTACGTTGAGTGCTCAGCAAAGACGGGAAGCGGTGTGCAAGACGTGTTCAACCTTGCATTGCGAGAAAGCATGAAGGGGCGCTGGGGGAAGATGGTGAAGCAGCGACGGTGTGTGATTGTGTAAGGGGGCGGTTGCCGGTCATGTTCACGCGTTTCATTGAATGGTATGGGTATGGGACTGATATTTTGCTTGCCTTTCTCTATACTCTGTGCTGAGAGGAGCTATTGCATCTTGAGGTGCACATCGTAATAGAGGGTTTTGGAAATTGTCCAACAGTGCTGGACAACGTAGACGAAGGCTAGGAGGGTCACAGTCACGGTACATAACTCGATATAGAGGATGTGATTGATGTTACCAACAGGAATGTCAAATGAGAGAAGTGATGAAGTTGTGTGCTGGAAGATTTCGAGCTGAGCAGATGAATTGAGCAAGTGAAATGTGGGAGACTGTGATGGGAGTGTACTGTGGAGTGATTTGTCTTGAAAAGAAATAATTAGGATACGGGCAACAAAAGAGAGCTTGAAGCGCACATGAGGAAGGACAAGCCCAAAAACAAGTTGGAGGAGGTAGCTGGATGATGTGACGAGGGTCATGACCCTCCTGCGGCACACCGTATCTAACATGGAGAGGCACATCCACCACGATCAAGTCTGCCTCCGGCTTAACGGCGACCAACAGCCAGCCTGATTCATTCGCTACCCCGGACATGGGTAGCTCCAGATTCGTATTCCCCACAAACTGGAAGGAGAGTCCATGGTCATTGAGCTCAAACGAGTCAATGATAATATCGGCTGGAAGTTCATGGAGGACAAATAAGTTGCATGCTGCATATTCATGTCGCGCATGTAGAGGAATACTAGTTGAGAGCGTTGAATGGAAACCTTTTACTTGCATAGTCGTAGATGGTCGACGACTCGACGTACGCGTGGAGCACGTGCTCGAGATCGAATCACTCAATCAAGGTCTCACTTAAGCTTACTTTCAAGTTCCCATCTGCATCATGAATCGTCCAAGCGAAGATCACAACAGAGTTCATTTTCCTATTCTCTCCTCAGAGCTCACCGCAGCCCTCGGTGCCATCGAAGACATGGCAGACGATACGGATGCTGTCCTAGATAGTGTTGTTCGCGGCAGTCCGCCTGTCATATTCCGTGCTGGTGGACCAATGTTAGTCCTCAGATCACTGTCTGTCTGTCACCTTGAAATTATGAATTAACGATTGGGCACCCCGCACACTGCGCACAGGCTCAAACAATTCGACGAGTCCACCGCCTCCAGTCGCAAAGGCTCTCAGGCTCCGACTCCCCCACGCTCCGTCGTTGGTATCGGGAACAAAGGTTCGTCTCACCTCATCCCTATCGTTTTTCACTCATTTATCATTCTACCATGCAAGTCGCCAAACCAGACTACTCAGAAGCAAAGATCGTCCTTGCGATGGTGGGATTGCCCGCCCGTGGCAAATCCTACCTCAGCAACAAGCTCATGCGTTATCTCAAGGTTTGTCTTTACCCCTGCTGTTGGATTTCACTTACCCTCCCCAGTGGCTAGAGTACGACGTACAGGTCTGCTGCCGTAGTCCTCAGGCCAATCTGGTACTCATCGTCAGTTGTTAGGTCTTCAATGTTGGTCAGCTTCGCCGCTCGCGCGCGCACCACAAAGCCCAGCAGTACGTAGTATTTCGTCGTGCATTATATATACTGCACCTCTTGCAGAAGTGGAATTCTCGAAGATCACACTTCTAACTACTTCAGCCACAACAACGTAGAAGCCACTAAGCTTCGCGAGCAACTCGCAGAAGACAGTCTCGAGATGCTCATTCGATGGCTGAAAAGGGGCGGCAACGTCGCCATACACGGTACATTTTCACTTTCTACTCAGTCATGTCATTTATACCCCCCAGACGCAACCAATAGTACCCGTATGAGACGGTACGCCCACCATTCCATGTGATTATTTAGCAGTAATAGTTAATTCCACTTCACTCAGTGCCAAAATCTCCGCCCGCGTTGCCAAAGAAAAGGGCATGTCCGTCATATTCCTCGAGTCCATATGCAACGATCCTGCTGTCATCGCTGCTAATGTTGCCCTTAAGGTCTCCTCTGGAGATCCGGACTATAAGGACCTTCCCCGTGAAGTGGCCGAACGTGACTTCCTTCGCCGCATCAAGGAGTATGAGGCCGTCTACGAGACCATCACCGAACCCCACCTTAGTTATCTGCGAATCACGGATATTGGCAATGAAGTCACGCTCAGCAGAATAAATGGTTACTTGCAAAGCCGCATTGCCTTTTATTTAATGAATTTGCATGTGAAGCCACGCAATATATTTCTTTCCAGAGTGCGTCTTCTTTGAAAATGTCGAAACTCGGACTCAAGTCTTATTGTAGCATGGCGAGAGCCAGTATAACGTCGAAGGCCGGATTGGCGGGGACTCACTACTTTCAGAACGCGGCCTGGCATATGCTCACGCGCTCCCTGAGCTTGTACGAAACAACATTGGGGATGCACCACTTATTGTACCTGTCTACTTCTAGCCATGTACAGAACCTCATCTCAAACGTACAGGTCTGGACTTCGACACTTCAACGCACAATCCAAACCGCTGCGGAACTTCCCTACCCCAAACTTACTTGGAAATCTCTTGATGAACTCGACGCTGGCGTCTGCGACGGTATGACATATGAGGAGATTGAGGTGCCTACTGTTTTATGACAATGCTTCTTACTTGAGAATCTTAATTTCTCTCGCGCTTCAGCAAGCATACCCCGAAGATTTCGCCAACCGTGACGAAGACAAATTCAACTATCGTTACCGAGGCGGCGAGTCTTACCGAGATGTTGTCGTGCGCCTCGAGCCTGTCATCATGGAACTTGAGCGGCAGGAAAATATATTGATCTTTGGACATCAAGTACGTGTGGATTCCTGTGCTCAAAATAATCTTTCTTTTATTCAGATCCACGCCCTGATTCTGTTATGTCCACTTCATAGTAAGAATTTATACTGACCATCATGGCAGGCAATCATTCGTTGCCTCTACGCGTACTTTCACGATCTCCCACAAGCTGATCTGCCTTACATCAATGTACCGTTACATACCGTCATCAAGCTTACTCCGAAGGCATATGGTTGTGACGAGGAACGGTGAGTTTTTCCTTTCACCTTGCCATCACTCTAATTTCTCTTAACTCACAAACTATAGGTACACTCTCCCCATCGGTGCAGTGGACACACACCGCCCTAAACCAGGGTCCACTATTTCGCCACCCGACGTAGTACCATTATCGACATCGAAGAGGGAATATTTTGGGACCAATGTAGCGTTTGGTAAGTAGTCGGGCAGTCACTTCTGGTGTTGATCACCTGTCGGCGTGTCGCGAATGTTCACAGGGAAGCTAGAGACAGCTATTAATGGAAGAGTCTGAAAATAAGATGTATTTTATATGAGAACAAATAGATACTTGGCTTTTTTCACACTAAATGTGGGATTACTTTGAAGTTTCTGCCTCCTGAATGTTGGCACTGCAAGCCTGCAAGTCACGTTTTCGTCCAAAGCTTCAAGTACTGTCATCCGTAACTTGTACAACTGATTATTACGCCTGACATGGAATCATCACCCAAACGACGTCGCATCACACGCTCTCCGTCACCGACGTACAAATTCGATGACGACGACGACGATTATGTGCCCTACGTTCCTGTCGCTCAACGACGAGAAGCTAAACTGGCGAAACTTTCTTCATTAAGCACCGTTTCTGACAGGACAAAGGCAAAGAAGCAACTAGAGGAACTATTAGAGCGTGAAGATGCAGAGAGGGAAGAGGAACGCCAGCGCGAGAAGACACGGAAGGAGAGGCCTTTGCTCATGGAAGCACAGGAAGTGCACGAGCGCAAAGCTGCAGAGAGTGCGTGCCTTACTGAGTTGCGAGCTGTTTATATGCTAATATTGTCATAGATGCAAAGAAGACTGAAGTAGAAAAAGAAGAAGAGGCAGATGCAGAGATACTTGCTGCCATAGCAAGTCGCAGGAAACTCGCATCTGATCTAGAGCTTGCGAAAGGCATATCTTACACAGACTCCCTCAAAACATCGTGAGATTCGTGCAACGAATGGGAAGTTGACCGTGTTCTTACTTATGCTACAGGTGGCAGCCGCCAAAATATATTCGAGAACGTACAGATGAGCAACATCGACGACTGCGAGAGAAATACCACATTATTGTGGATGGAGAAGACATACCTCCTCCTATTGAGCATTTTTCGGTACTTATATAATGGACGACTCCATCAGCGCTGGATTGACTGTTTCGTAGGACATGAAGATACCAGAATCGATGCTGCAATTTCTGAAGTCCAAGAAAATCACTACTCCGACACCTATCCAATTACAAGGGATACCCACTGCGTACGACCTCCCGTACTCTTTCATTAACTTCCTTTAACCAATCTCATAGATTTGCTGGCCGAGATATGATTGGCATTGCTTTCACTGGTTCCGGCAAAACCCTCGCCTTCTGCCTTCCCTTAATCATGCTCGCACTGGAAGAAGAGACGAAGCTCCCGTTTGTTCGTGGAGAAGGACCAGTAGGTGTTGTTCTCTGTCCCTCACGCGAGCTGGCCACACAGACATATGAAAATGTGCTTGCCTGGACAGGCGCGCTTGCGAGGGACGGAAAGTACCCACAGCTCAACACTCTCCTCTGTATTGGCGGCATATCAATGGGCGAACAGAGTCACGTGCTCAACAAGGGTCTACACATTGTGGTAGCGACTCCTGGCCGTCTGATTGACATGCTAGAGAAGCGAAAATTCACATTTAACAATAGCAAGTTTTTGTGTATGGATGAGGCTGATCGGATGATTGATTTGGGTTTCGAGGATGACGTACGCAACATTATGAGCTTTTTCAAGGTATGCCTTCATAATTGTTAATTGGCTGTGATTTATTCATAGTACTTGGTAGCGACAACGGCAAACCTTACTTTTCTCTGCGACAATGCCCCGAAAGATCCAAGACTTTGCGCAGCAGTCGTTAATCAAACCTGTTCTTGTGAATGTTGGCCGTGCTGGCGCTGCAAATTTGGACGTTCTTCAAGTGGTGGAGTATGTTAAGCAGGAGGCGAAGATGGTTTACTTGCTGGAGTGCCTTCAGAAAACGGCTCCTCCAGTTATTATCTTTAGTGAGAACAAAAATGAAGTTGATGGTAGGCTATTCTCTTCTCTCTCAAACGTCGAAGTCCTCATTTTATACCAGATATACAAGAATACCTCTTGCTGAAAGGTGTCGAGGCTGTGGCAATTCACGGTTCAAAGAGTAATCGTTCTTCATCATTGCTAATTACAGAGGTCCTTACTTTTGTCTTTAGCCCAGGAGGAGCGACAATACGCCATTAAATCGTTTAAGTCCGGCGCCAAAGATGTTATGGTGGCTTCGGGCGTTGCCTCGAAGGGCCTCGACTTTAACGATATTCAACACGTCATCATCTTCAGCATGCCCAAAGAGATCGAGGACTACGTACATCAAATTGGCCGTACAGGACGTAGCGGAAAGACTGGCATAGCTACAACGTTTGTAAATATGACGACACCAGAGCAGACACTTCTAGATTTGAAATATTTGTTGATGGAGGCTGGACAGAAGTATGTTGTCTGTCTCGCTCCAATGTGTCTTGCTGACATGTAACAGGGTTCCACCCTTCTTGCGTACCATCGAAGATCCTCGAGCAGCACAGGGTGGCTCGCTCAAAGGCTGCCCTGTATGTGGAGGTACGCGTGATATTTAATTAACCAGAATTGCTTGTTGATTTCAGCATCAGGTCTTGGACACGGGATATCGAATTGCCCGAAGTTGGAAGATGCTCAGAGACGACAGATGGCATCGCACAGAGCTGCCGATGATGGAGGGGGTTATTGAGTCTGTACGGGGTTCTGAATCACATTGTCACACTTCGCTGTTATCGTTGTGCAGTATCTTCCATACCACGTTCTCAAATGTCTCATGCTCGCATCCACGGTTGCTGCCTCCAAGCTACCTAAGATATCCCTCGAGTACGTGTTTACTGCATACCACGAAGCTTGGTCTAAAACCTTACTCACTGAAAAACCGTACAATGTTTGCGGTAAACTCCTTCGCCCGGTTGTAAGCTGTGATGTTGTTGTCTGATAATTTCCACTCGCGCTGGCTTGTTCGACTTGGTCGAACTTTCAGGTCTTTGCAAGCGTTTGACAGATCGTGTAAGATCTCTGTACAAGTGTAGTGTGAACTAACCACGGTGACCTGTACTATGTAACTTGAGAATTTAAACAGGGCTCTTTGAATGTTTTTGCGTACGGGGGAAAGGTATGTATGGATCAAGCACACGAAATGCGAACACGAACACACAACGCTAAAGCTGGAGCACGCTGTCTTGTGGAATTCTAGTGTTCGTCGAGGATTCAAGTTGGTCGGCCGTAGCGTAATCGAGACAAGCATCTTTCTGAAATGAACAAGACAGCTAAATGAGGTGGTCGCAAAAACAGTTATGATTTTCCAAGTCGGGGCTGACGTAGATGTCTTGCAAGTTGAAGGATTGGCCTGTAAACTATGCCATGTTGAGCAACCTGCGGTATTACATGCAAGCGCTTACCAATAGCATCATTGTCCCAAGTCGACGAGGAAGGAGGAACTTCAGCCATAACCATTACACCACCGACCGCTCACATGACGACATGATATAAATCAACTCCAAAGATATTGTCAGGGAAACGTTATACACAGCATCGTATTGTAAATGCTAACAAAGCAGCTAAGAAAAATACAGGTGAGGATAGGTCATGAGTTACAATAAGTCAACAACGCCCCTGGTTTCAAAAGGCACGAGTCGTACAGGTCACCGTCATCTGAGACATAAGCCAAGTCAAATGGTATCCAGAAGATAGCCCTGCATCACGAAGCAATTCCAACTGCCTCAGGTTCCTCGGACGCGACGGGGGTAGCCTCATTGATGGACGAAGAGGTATCGGCAACTTGAGTGCTATTGGACGGGCTGGAAAATCCAGCTACAGATGGACCTCCGCGCCCGCGCCCGCGGCTTCTTGATGGTCCTCCTCTGCTACTTCCTCGACCTCTCCCTCCCCTATGTTCAGACGGCGAGGAACTTGGAACTGCTGCAGATCTATCAGCTGGAGCAGGGTTCCTCGCCTGTTTCCAATCACCCGGGGGCTTTCCAGAGTCCCATTCACGATTCTGAATCTTGTCCAACTTTCTCAGAGCGTTCTGCTCGCGGGTGCGGTTAACGCCCTCCTGCACTTTGCGCTGATGGGCTTGACGCACACGGTCAGCTTCCTGAGTCTTCTTGAACGCGTCTTCATCTGCTTGTACGTCCTAATCATACCATATCAGTGGATTGACGTTGTGGATATGCATGTCACTTACAATTCTACGTTGTTTAATCTTCTCATTCTGCTCCTTAATACGCTGCATCCGTTCAGCGAGCGCTTCTTCACTAAGTTTCTCCTATGAAGCAGTTAGCAGGACATATTATACTGTCCTGACATTGCATACCCTCTGCGCTCCGCCCGTCTTGACGCGCTCAAGGTTCACATAAGGCTTCTTCTTCTCCTTAACGTCCCTATCTGTTGACTGATTTTCTAGCACCTGTGACTCGTCTGCATCGGCCTGAGGAGGTTCAGTTGTCTCTTTGATGGAAAGATTGTTGAAATCAAGGCCAAGGGAGTTCGTGGAGGACTCGGCCATTGTGGTCGACAGAAGACGCGACCAAAGGAAATCATACCGCCGCGGAGAGAATTTGAGCTACTGGAGAAGTCCATGGACAGTCCAGCGATGAGGTGGGAAATCAGAGCCTTATCTGTTCTGATAAGATAAACGGTACGGGTTCGGTACCGTCATTTATTCGATCATCGTCCCACTGTTCCTAAAGTTAACGACGACCATGTCTCTCTCGAACAAGCTCTCTATCACAGATCTCGACCTCAAGGGAAAGCGTGTCCTCATCCGCGTTGACTTCAATGTTCCCATGCAGGATGGCAAAATTACTAACCCTGCTGTGAGCACTCCCCTTGTCACACATATATCCTTGCTGAAAGGGCTGTAGCGTATCGTGGCAGCGTTGCCCACCATCAAGTATGCTCTCGACAACGGTCAGTGTCATGTATGCATGTGGAGTGCTGTCACGAAGAAATTTGTTCTATCTATCTAGGCGCGAAGACCGTCGTCCTCATGTCGCATCTAGGCCGTCCAGATGGCAAGATTGTTGAGAAGTATTCCATAAAACCAGTCGCTGGCGAGCTCGAGAAGCATCTCGGAAAGCCCGTTATCTTTCTCCCCGACTGCGTGGGCCCTGAGGTTGAGAAGGCTGTGAATGCTGCCGAACCTGGCTCTGTCATCCTTCTCGAAAATCTCCGCTTCCACATTGAGGAGGAGGGTTCTGTCAAAAACAAAGATGGTACAAAAACTAAGGCTGACCCTGCCAAGGTTGCGGAGTTCAGGGAGGGCCTTACAAGACTCGGTGATTTATACGTCAACGATGCCTTTGGGACAGCTCACCGTGCTCACTCGAGTATGGTCGGCGTTAAATTGCCCCAACGAGCCGCAGGCTTCCTCGTCAAGAAGGAGCTTGAGTACTTCGCAAAAGCTCTGGAGAATCCTGACCGACCTTTCCTCGCCATCCTTGGAGGTGCCAAGGTGTCGGACAAGATTCAGCTGATTGAGAATATGTTGGATAAGGTGGGTGGTGTGATTTTTTCCCGGCCGCAAATCAGCTGTTCATCGCTTGGGTTTTTGCGCTTCCTTGAATAGGTTAACTCTCTTATTATCTGCGGTGGCATGGCGTTCACGTTCGCAAAGACATTGGACCATGTGTCTGTGAGTTCTACGAGTGATTTTTGATAATGCGTGATCACTCACGCTATTTCCAAGATTGGAAACTCCCTTTTCGACCAGGCCGGTTCTGAAAAGGTTGGAGCCCTTGTCGAAAAGGCAAAGAAGAATAATGTAAAACTGGTCTTCCCCATCGACTTCATTACTGCTGACAAGTTCGACAAAAATGCAAATGTGTGTATTTCGCCTCATGTCTGTTGTCTGCGTTGACTGTTCTCGCAGACTGGGACTGCAAGTATAGCTGAAGGCATTCCTAGTGGGTGGATGGGCCTTGATGCCGGCCCGAAGAGTCGCGAACTATTTCGCCAGACAGTACTCGAGGCCAAGACCATCTTATGGAACGGGTACGTGTAAAACTTCTCGGAGCAATATTTTATCTCAATGTTCACAGACCTCCTGGTGTGTTTGAGTTCCCTGCTTTTGCAGAGGGCTCGAAAGCTCTTCTCGATGCGAACGTCGAGGCTGCGCAGAGGGGCGTGACCGTCATCATCGGTGGTGGTGATACTGCAACAGTTGCAGCACTCTACAACGCTGAGGACAAGATAAGTCATGTCAGTACAGGCGGAGGTGCTAGCTTGGAACTGTTGGAGGGCAAGGTGAGAACTAGCAAGTCCGGTCACCCTGAACTAAGTTAACTAATTAACATTAAGGTCCTGCCTGGTGTGGCTGAGCTTAGCGAGAAGTGACTTCACAAGGGAAGAAAGATGGCATATTCATAGAGTGGTTTGTACCTTACTGCCGCCCGTCAATAGAATTACTATGGAATTGTACTATATCAGTCGAGTAAACGCGTAGCACGAATATGAAAGCAGAATACGCAATCATTTGCCTGAGTGACCCTGACGCTAATTATTAAGCTGTGAACGATATTTTTGGTAGCAAGCCTAAGCAGGAAATATTACATAATCACTTCTCCTAGCATCAGGTTTGGGGCTCGCGATCGACATCTGGTCAGATTTTTTTGGCAAATACTTCTTGACATTCTAAGCAACAGATGGCTCGGAGTCGACGTCGCATTACACGTTCGGCAACTCAAAAGTCACCAGAGCGCTCACCAAGCTCGTCACGTTCGTCGTTGACACCGATGGAGGATGAACCAGAGCCCACGCAGGCGGAATCCGCACCAACCAAGACAGATGAAGATATGTGCCCATCATGCAGAGAAGGTGTGCAGGGAGAAAAGAGCAGCTGGATACGTTGTGACGCCTGCAAGATTTGGTTTCACTGGGCATGCGTAGGGGACGGTAGTGACCTCGAGTCGATTAACAAATGGTACATACTAGACGTGAATTCACTGTGATGGTTTATCTAATACTGGATGTCACGAAACAGGTTCTGCGGGCCATGCATGACAGAGAAGCCGTCGCGTGTGATGACATTCAAGGTTCCTGCACGCAAGTCCTCACGCAAGCGTACACAATTGGACTACGCGAATCTCAACGCAGGAGTCGAATCCGACCCGAGTAGATGGTTGCGAGTCATCCAAAGCAAGCCAATCAAGGACGACAATTTTAGAAGAATGAAGGGCGCAGATGTGGGCCTGGAATGGTTGGAGAACGACGAAACCGCGATGCGTGAACCAATTGTAGTGGAGAATCCGGAGGGACTGAGAATGAAGATGCCTTCACCCGAATTCTCGGTTCAAGATGTTGCGGATGAAGTCGGCCACGAAACACCTGTGGAGGTCATTGGTGAGTGTGTTGTTATGGAGTGTATGTGTTGCTGATGTGTGGCTTAGACGTTGCCTCACAGTCAAACTCTCCTGGATGGACGTTGGGGCGTTGGGCTGAGTACTATAATACCGAACCTTCCAAACGAGATAAGATCCGTAACGTGATATCGTTGGAGATTTCAGGTACGAAGCTTGCAGACCAGGTGTTACCCCCAAGACTTGTGAGAGAATTGGACTGGGTTGAAAAGTTCTGGCCAAGTACACGTAAAGGGAAGGGGCATGCATACCCCAAAGTGCAGCTGTATTGTCTCATGGGTGTTGCTTCCGCGTGGACAGTGAGTGATCAACATTTTTGAGCGATGGTACTCTAAAAATCGGCCATAGGATTGGCACGTAGATTTTGCTGGTTCGTCGGTGTATTATCATATACTTCGTGGGTGCAAGGTCGGTCTCTCAATTATATGCTCCATCCTTCTAACAGGTTGGGCGTTTATCCCAGGTATTCTACTTCATACGACCCACACCAGCCAACTTACAGGCGTATGAACGATGGTCTGGGACTGAGATGCAAAGTAATGTCTGGTTAGGTGACATGGTGGACGAGGTGGTGAAGGTCACTCTTCACGCAGGCAATACGATGATAATACCAACAGGGTGGATACACGCTGTGGTGAGCACCTCCGCCGCTATTGTCTTCCAGATTATGAAACATCGGTTGTTCCTTTAGCACACTCCAGTAGATTCTCTGGTCTTCGGCGGGAATTTCCTACACTCTTACAACATTGCAACACGTGAGTTAGCTTTTTGCTATTCTTTTTTCATGCTATAGACTGACGTTGGCCATCATGATACAGAGCTGAAAGTGATTGACATTGAGAAAGCAACACATGTGCCCAAAAAATTCAGGTTTCCGTTGTTTGTCAAGTGAGATTTTTCTTCATTTCTGTTAAACTGTCTGAGTATCAATTATTAGGCTCTGCTGGTATGTAGGTGACAAATATTTGCGAGACCTGAAATCGAAAGAAGAGTTCCCTCCTCGTGTTCTGGATTCTCTTGAAGCTCTTGCCCATTTTCTTGTGTCAGAGTCACAAGCTATGGAACGCGGGACAGAGGTGGCCAAGCGGGAAGCCAAGGAAAATGTCCCAAGTGATCGCGTGAAGGACGCACCAGCGTTGGCTCGTGAGCTGAGGTGGCGTGTGCGGCTTGCAGCAGGAGCGACGAGCGACGATGAAGACCTCGGGCGCCCGGTTCAGACGAATATGGTGAATGGCCACAAACGGAAGCGATCGCCCGCTAGTGCAGCTGTTGGCGTACAGTTCAGGAACTTCCAGCCCAAAGGATGGGATGTAGTTAATGAACTTCCCCGGGAATCGGACGAGCGGGTTGTGAATATTCACCGTCCAAAGACATCAGATATATGGGAACGAGAGTGGATGGAGTGGAACAAAGAGTCTGAAGATCAGGTGCAGGAGGAACGGGCGACTGTGGAGAAGACGAGAGATGTGATGATCAAAGTCAGAAAGACTGAAAATGGGGTGGAGAGGCAGCGAATAGAGCGGGTGATGGAAAAGTGGGTTTGGAAAGCTGAGTCTTCGAAGCCAGAAGGGGATTTCCAAGATGTCGAGATGAAGCCTATAGAAGACGCACCCCTAGGATGCCAAGTGACCAAGGAAGAAGAACAGGGGACTGAAGTTGATGTCATTTCGCCGCTGGAGACAACCCAAGCGATGGAGGTGGCTGCTTAGGTAGAAGCTCGTTGTCCTTCTTGCATGATCAATTGCTCTATCTGATCTATTAGAAGTGTCATTCTTTTAGTAAAGTAGAATGTGTGGACGATAAACAGACTTAAGTACTTAGTTTGATGTTTGCCCTGGGAAATCAACTCGGAGTCTCGGACAAGCTCGGTAACCGTAACTCATAGCCTTGCTGGCAATCCTCTGTCTGGCACAAGTCTAACATTAGCCTGCCTTCCCTGGTTGGCGTGGTTCATAGCCTACAAGGTTTTCTCGCAACCTAGCTCAGTGCTTGTTAGTTACTGAGACACTTATTTCGACAGGTTTTTTTCTGTTGTCTTTTGGCTTATTATTCTGTCATGTCCGACCCCGATTCATCGTTGGCCTATGACCAGCCCGAACTCGACTCGCAAGATCACCTACCAGTTGAGAGTGCACATTGGGATCACAATGGAATACCTCTGAACGGTCAACAAAACTGGGCGCTGGAACAGCATGCACTACAAGGCCCTACTGCTAATTACCATGGTGCAAACAACCATCTTCCAAACCCTGGTTAGTGATGTTCCGCTCTGTGTCTTATCGCTGCTTATCATTTTGTCGTCTCAAGCCTTTACACGCCATACTAATCTCTCCGTACCTTCCCTGCCCTCCCACAGTCAAAGATCAGAATACGACGACGTGCCACCACTGCCCAATTTCAATCATTCAACTCTCGTAGACAGCATGAACGCAATGCACTTAGGCGACCCCCTACCCCGGGGGACAAGTGCAATGTCATACAGCTCTGACCCTGTTCCTCATGCAGGAACTTCCATGTCGGTGCAATCCCTCTCCCCCGATCAGCGTGGTCCATACCCGCCGCGATATGCGAGCACGTTGCCATCAGCACCTAATGTGAATATTACCCGTCCTCTACGACTTCGACATCCAGCCGAACGTTCCCACACAGCTGATGAAGCCTCGCTTTACTCTAATGATCCCCATAGTGGCCTCTCCGTGGATACAGATCTCGTGGACATGCGTAATTATGACAACCAAGGGCAAAGTCCATACCCTTCTTCAGAAAGTTCCGTCGCACCCTATTCTCAACCCCCACCCTATCCACCGAGACAGTTTCAAGTTGGGCGGCAGGGTCCACCGGCAGCTTTGCCTCCCGCATACTACCCTCCTGGCCCAGGTCCTACACACCCTAGCCCCTCTCGTCAGGACGAGTATGACTACCTATATGCTGCTGCATCTGACGTCCTCGGTATGGGCCCTCCGCCACCACAGCACCATATGCCGGTTTATCCTGCCGGCCCCGCGTACGGAAGCCAAGTATCTCTTCCTGTAAGCCAATCTACACCTTATCTTTCTCCCCTCGGTTCGGGACCCTATGGTAGTAGTGCGGGGATGTTGCCCTACGGTGGCCCATCTAACCCGTCAGTGCCTCAAGGACTGGATGATCCCGAGTTTGAGCTTCGACCCTCATCGTTACAACGTTCTGTCTCCACGTCAGTTGATCCACGCACCAAGAAAACAAAGGCAGTTGATCTTACAGCCCCTCCGTTCACGAAAGAATATATCGACCAGTACCGACACCGTATTAAGGCCGATCCAGACCCTGAAGCTCATTTCTTATATGCAAAATATCTCATAGATGCTGCCAAAAAGATAGGAGCGGACGCCAAGGACCAGCGGGCTGTGAAGAAGTATCGTGACTTGCTCCTCCAAGAATCTCTCAAGACTATCCGTCGATTAGCGGAGCAGAAAGAAGCTTACGATGAGGCACAGTTCTTCCTAGCCAACTGTTTCGGGACAGGTTCTCTGGGTCTCCAAGTGGACCATGAACGCGCGTACCACTTGTACCTACAAGCCGCGAAACAGAATCACGCAGCAGCTTCATACCGCGTCGCTGTCTGTAATGAGATTGGAGCAGGCACGCGACGGGATCCGCAGCGGGCTTCTGCGTTCTATCGGAAAGCAGCATCACTGGGTGACACTGCCGCAATGTACAAGTTGGGCATGATTCTTCTACTTGGGTCTTTGGGAGAACAGAAGAACCCAAGAGAAGCTATCAACTGGTTGAGACGGGCTGCAGAGCAGGCTGACGAGGAAAATCCACATGCACTTCACGAACTCGCCATGCTTCACGAAATGCAAAACTCACAATTGGTTATTCACGATCCCGCGTGTGCCAAGTCACTATATGAACAAGCAGCACGCCTAGGCTATACGCAATCCCAGTACAAACTCGGACAATGCTTCGAGTACGGCACGCTGACATGCCCTGTTGATCCTAGGCGATCAATAGCGTGGTACACTAAGGCAGCAGAGAAAGGGGATGCCGAGGCTGAGCTGGCTCTCAGTGGATGGTATCTGACCGGAAGTGAGGGCGTGTTAAAGCAGAGTGATTCTGAAGCGTATCTGTGGGCGCGTAAAGCTGCCAACAAGGGCTTGAGCAAAGCAGAGTATGCTGTGGGTTACTACGCCGAGGTGGGGATCGGAATCAAGCAGGATATCGAGTTCGCCAAGAGGTGGTATATGAGAGCAGCAGGTGTGTACAAACGTTCTATTACCTGCACATTATTTTTAGCTCAAATTTCTGTATAGCGCAAGGGAACAAACGAGCCATGAACCGACTGACGGAGATGAAGCGTATGGGCAATAAACGCTCCAACGTTGGACGTCCAACGCGACAGCAAGCCAAAGACGAGTGTGTTATTTGCTAGTAACCCTGGAATGATCGCTATCAATTTCGCTGTCGAGCTTTTCCTTTTTCCTAATGGCTACCCTTCCTTAATTATTATCGGCGGCTTTTATCAGCTTATTGCTTGAACGCTAGTATTCTGGATATTGATCTTGTACCTGCTGTCGTTGTTTTGCAGCTCGGCTGTGTTACTAAGTATGAGGGAATCCATGATGTGCCACACCCGGGTGTTCCAACGTTCAGAAACAGTACCTGTCACTATCGACGCTCTCGTCACTTATTTTCATCACTATCGGTATGGCATCTTCAAAAGGCGGCATGCAAGATGTTGAGAATAACCAATTGTGCCCCAGTCCGTCACTGATTCACTAGATTTATAGGTTTCCCTTCTGGAGCACATTGCCAAAGCGCAATGCTTGAATGAGCAGGACGAACACACGTTGCAGTCCATACTTTCTTCCAAAGCACGAAACACATCACCTGCATACCTTGACAGCGATGCAGATGCAGAGTTACTATTAAACATCGAGGTATGTACTACTCGCATAACGTTGCTCTAGGCAGCGTTGACGCAGGTCGTGGCAGTTCAACCAGGCAGTTCGTGTACGATCATTGGTCATTCAGGCGCAGGATCGAGGACCGGCGAAACTCAGGCTTCGTATCAACTGCTCCGCTATCGACTTCACCAATTTTGAGGACTCGGAGGATACCCAGGTCATCGAGCTAAAGGCGGATCAAATTTCGAAAGATGGAACAATAAAGTTGATTACACTTCATCCCACCAAGTTCAACCATGTGAACTCGCTTCATGTGAGTCCTGACCCCATGCGAGGACCTCAACCTTACGGCATACCGAACAGATCCTTGTGGAATCTGACCACGATAACACCAGAATCGATGCACTCGATATCTTGGGTACGCTTGTCCAGTAAGTTGTCTACATCCAGGTGTTAACTTCATGTATAATAATGTTACCACCATGAAGCGCAACGAAGAATCTTAGTGGGCTTGCACAACAAGCGGACTAGCATTTTGCATTTTGCAACTTGTTACTTTGAGGCAATAGCTTGAATACGGAGTCCGTGCGTGGCACTGCACCCTTCTGCAGCCAGAATATGAATCTCAAGAGTTTGTGCTCAAGTATTACTACTAATGTGCGGGACTTTCATTTCCCGTCAATCTGAAGCCACATACTCCACCTCTTTCGTTCTTCCTCAGAACCTTCGAACACCCAATTAACCTTTATTATTTCTGAAAAGCCCTCTGTCAGTTGGGGCTCCTCGTAGTGGTTCTTGAAGCCTATGAAAGCAACGTATGGTATTATGTCGCGTCTCGACTAACCACCACTGAGATTAGATTGAGGCAAAACTTCGTGATGTATCTGACATTTACCTCTATTGAAGGATGAACATATGCACGGTAGAGGTTATTGTGCCATGCCAGATCCATTGAACCAACGAACTCGATACATCTGATGCAAAGCGTCACGTTCCTGTAGACGTAAGTAAGCAAAAATACTCGCCGAACAGGAATCTGAAGTTTCTTCGCGAGATCCAAATAATGTTTTCTAGTTGAAATGTCTCTATTGGTATTGTCTGCCGGACCGTCATGTGTTTGGCCAGTTCATACAAGAACAACAGGTACTTACCAACTACACAGCTTGTACCGGCTTTGAGTGCCACTTCAGCTGCTTTCATGCATTTGGAACGACTGCCCAATGTATCTTGGTTGATGTGGGTGTACCCAGCAGGCGCGAAATGCCTCCGGAAAAAAGTCGATTTTCCGAGGCATGGAAAGCCCGAGAATACGACTAGCTCTGTCCCTGCAGCATCAGGAATGATTTGTGCCATAGGAGGGTCAAGTAACGGTACTGCTTCACGAGTCAACTTCATCTTCAAAATATCAAAAAAACTAGCGAACATTTCGGGAGACTAGAAACATGGAATCCAGGAAGGGTATACGGCGCTGAGGGCAGCTGGAGAAAATATTCCTAAAGAGTTTCAACATGACATGAATACTTTCGAGCGATTGATTCTCACTTCTGGGGTATAAAATGAAATATCAATGTTAATCGCCCATTTCCTGTCAGTTGATGCAAAGTCATTTGTGCGACCCGCAGCATCTCCAACAAAGAATGAAGCGTTATTATCTGAAAGTGACGCGCATAAGATACTCGCAATGCATCCCACTATTCCTATGCCACTCACCTATCCGAACACCATCTTCTGCGAAAATACGTTCGAGCTCATCCCACATCCCTGGCATGGGTTTACGGAAGCCATCTTTGGCAGACGCAGCTAATATTCGAAAAGGTACGCCAGGAAGCTGTTCTCGTCTATGAGGAACGGATTAGGGAAGGAGACAGCAGGGCTTACAGCGGCAGAGATGAGAGGAATTTTCTTCTTCCAGCCATCCAGATGTTGTTGCTTTAATGCTTGATTGGATATCAATATGATCGAGTATCTGCGAGAATTGAGTCGTAGCTTGGCTTGGCATACTTTGGACATACCCTTCTTGATGTAATTCCTCCAACTTCACAGGCACACTAGCTCTCCACCACTCCCAGTGCAATGCGGCTTCTTTGCTTCGATTTTTGTGGTTTGACTTGATCACTGTTCCATCGAGGTCGAATGCAGCTACTTTCGGTGTGCTTTGTGGTATCAGATTGATTCCGTGCAGACACGTGCGCTTCGGGCCTAGAGCAGGTTTCAGCCATTGGAATGAGGACGCTGTAGAGTCCGCGCTAGGTTTGGTGAAGAATGGGTGTACTGGAGTAGCGCATCAGATGTAATTTTACACACAGGGACTATAGCTCACCTTTGGCTACCTTTCGAGACGTCATCGTGGAGCCATCGTTATCAGACTCGCCACCCAGATCTGAAACAGTTCGCTTCCTCGATTCTGTGATAAGGTGACTGAGCCAACAAGGTACAGGGTGCTCTCACTTCGAGGACCGAGGCTCGAATAAAGTACAGTGGAACGGGTTAACACGAACCTGATTGCTGCATTTGCTCCGAATATGACATACCCTTGGGAGTTGTTGGCATGTCGTGCAATTCTACACGGGCGCTCCCAAGCTTGCGGACCTCGCGGACGCGTTGTGGTTTCAGTGTTACACGAATACGCAGTGCCTTCGGTGTCCGACTTCTTGCTTTTATTGGTTTGTCTACAGAAGACTATTTTCAGCCAAAACGATACCAGCAGGTAACATATACTTATGTAAAATTATTTACAAAGTTTTGATCTCAGTCCCTGCCACGAGCCAGATCGCTTGTACATATACACATCGATTATCTTCGTCCTTCCATGCGTCCACCCTCGCCATCGATTCCAGAGAAAAAGTTTCTTTATGATGCTCTGAAGCAGTCTCTGCGACTAGACGGTCGTGATATGCTTGATTTTCGAACGCCGACCTTCACTTTTGGCCCTGAACTGGGTTGGGTAGAATGTGCAATGGGCAAAACACGGTAAGCATCCATGAGGATTCGTGCGTGTTATCAGATACAAGACAGGTACCAGCGTAATTGCACAATTAGACGCCAAAATGGTCAAACCGCTGCCAGAACGACCCTTTGAAGGCATCATTACAATACATTCTGAAATCTCTCCTATGGCGTCTCCGGACTATGAACCTGGTCGGTAGGTGCGTGCCATCTACATGTATTTTATTTTGCCATAATCAAAAATTTCACCAGGCCTTCAGAAGAAGAGGTCACCCTTACCCGCATGTTGGACAAGGTCCTCCGAAGAAGTGACACTATTGACAAGGAATCTTTGTGCATATTGGCAGGTCAACGAGTAGGTGAAGTCTTTCTCCGGTGAGTAATATGACACTAAATGGGTCAACGACGAAAAATTCAGGTCTGGCAATTGCGATTGACGGTTCATGTCCTCGCTGATGCCGGTAACATACTCGATTGTTCATGTCTCGCTGGCATCGTAGCTTTTAAGCACTTCAGAAAGCCGGAAGTAGAAGTCGTTGGAGACGAAGTCATCGTTGTACGTATTGAGACGACTTTGCTGCTTATACTGTTGACTTTTCTCCAACAGCACTCGCCATCTGAACGCGCACCCATCTCGCTTGCAATACATCACACCCCTTTCTGTGTGACGTTCGCATTCTTCCCGGATGCATTGACGCGACCCGTGGTGGACCCATCTTTGCTTGAGCAGAGGCTGAGTTCAGGTTTGATGAGCATAGCGATGAATGCTCAGCGCGAGATATGTGTCCTACACAAAGCAGGGGGGGTTCCGACGGCACCAGAGGAAGTCCTACGATTAATTAACGTAACTTCCATTCTGGTCAAAGATCTTGACAAGCGGGTCGAGGCTAGGCTGCTGGAAGACTGGGAGGGTAGGAAAGTTGAAGTGAGATAGATTATCAAGGTTGCTTGGTAGAAACAGGTTTAACTTCCATAACGGGACTTAACAAGTTGTCCTAGGCGACTTGTGCATTTGACTCACCGAGCCGCCGACTATTCGTGCTTATATATATATGCGTTAGCTGCAGGCTATGTTCAACTGAGTCCAGGTAGATGTAGCTAAAACGTAGATAGTACGCAGGTGAGAGTGGCTCTAAGTTCGAGCCACTGTTGACACCAGTGGTAATTTAAAGGGTCAAATTTCCGACATCGTAGAAGTTGGCTGATATCTGATGGCTTCGACGTGGCTGAAACCTTAGGTACCCCCAGATTCTCAGCCATCTCTAAGCCGTCGGAATTTTTGGACAACACGCAGTGTGTTCTTCACAGCAACTATGGTTCGGTTGATCACCCACAATTTACTCGCATGCCATGTCAAAGGATGCACTACAAATAATTTTCCACTCATATTTCGAGATGTCGAAGTTGAACTACAAGAAACAGAATTCAACCCTGACTTCATCCGGAATATGCTGTCTCGATTGGAATGGACTGCCTTGATAAATGCTGCGAAGCAGGTGCGTGCGATTGCATAACTGGCCCGAGCGAGTGGCTCATGGTCTATTGAGGTCGGAGACACATCACTACCTCCAGAACAGCCAGACATGATGGACGACGAGCTACTTCAGAAGCTTCATCATGTTTTAATGGAGGTACTATGTACCTTGATCACTTCCTCAAGTTTGTGCTAACTTTTCCCTAGATCAATGTTACTGATGGTGCGATGGTCTGTCAAAATTGTAACCACATATACCCCATATCTAATGGGATCCCAAACATGGTGAGCTACGGCTTGTCTCGAGACTCTTGATTGCATAACTGAGATTCTCTGCAGTTATTGGCCGAGCATGAAATCGGCTAAATCATGAATTGCCCCTTCGAGAGTTAACGTTCGCTAGTGCACTGCCGTGTCGAATTGATTTATCACAGCACAATGATGGAGTAGTCTGCAAAGTATAGTAGTATTTCGTGAATAAACTTTCAACTGAGTTGATTCAATGCCTGTTACATAACATGCATTTAGATCACACGCATCATGGAGTCTCTTGGATAAACAAGCTTTGCTACCAGTCATCGCGGCTCGTCGTTTGAGTCTGTCTTCGAAATTCGACGCTTCTTAACATCAGCATGGAGCCCTTTGATCCAACTACGCATCCTCACAGACGCTGTAAGTCCTCTTGATCGCCGTCAAGATGATCTCGACGAAACAATGATTGACCATGATACGGTCACAGATAATCCATTGACTAACACACACATTCTCGTCTCACCTCATCGCACCAAACGTCCTTGGCTAGGTCAGACTGAGCCTGCCGAGCCGTCAAACCTCCCCCAGTACGATCCCGCATGTTACTTGTGCCCTGGGAACACTCGAGCGGGCGGTAAGGTGAACGAAATGTACACTTCCACCGTGGTATTTGAGAATGATTACGCTGCCGTTCTTCCACCCCCTGGACCTGTTACACCTCAGGCTGCACATCCACTCCTAACTGTCGAGCCAATTCAGGGTGGGTGCGATGTTGTATGTTTCCATCCCCGGCACGATCTCAGTTTACCGACCTTATCTGTGTCGGACGTGGAGAATATCGTGGATGAATGGACTCGTGTTTACATGAGGAGGGGGACTGAGCTTGGGATTAAATACGTGCAGATCTTTGAAGTATTCGACTTTGACCAGATCATCGCACAAGTCCTCATTTCATAACAGAACAAAGGAGCAATGATGGGGTGTTCCAACCCGCATCCCCACAGCCAAGTATGGTCGCTTTCCACTGTGCCTACCCTCCCCGCGAAGGAACTTGCTTCTCTGCACAACTACGCCTCTACCGCCCACGTACACTCTGGCGTTCCAACTGAGCCTGATGGCCATGCGTGCCTATTGTGCGAATATGTGCACCACGAGCTGTCTGTTCCAGAAGACGAAGGACGCATAGTCGTTACAAATGAGCATTTCGTTGCTCTTGTGCCGTGGTGGGCGTATTGGCCCTTCGAAATCATGGGTGTGTTACAAGTCACTTGTAGCAAATGCTAGCTCTGAACACGACATCACAGTGCTCCCTCACAAACGGCACATTTCGTCCCTTGTACATTTCACAGTTGATGAGAAGCACGCATTTGCAGACATCATGTCGCGCGTGACGAAGCGCTACGACAACATATTCTCCTGCTCGTTTGCATATGCGATGGGCGTTCATCAACGGCCACTTCCCCCACGTCGAGATGATGATGGGATGTATGTGAAAGATGCAGACGATATTGCACATCTGCATGTGCACTTCGAGCCTCCACTCTTACGGAGTGCTAGTGTGCGCAAATTTTTGGCGGGGTGAGTTTCACCACAAATTATTGGCTCGTTGACATAAGCTGATATGATTGATAGTTTTGAAGTTATGGCGGAACCGCAGAGAGACCTTACCGCAGAGCAAGCTGCTAAGACACTAAGAAATTGTTCTGAAGTTCACTACCTCCTCGCTGCAGAGTAGCGACATGATAACACCCGCCTGGACAAATGTTTTCATCACTTCTGTTATAGAAGTTCTTCTCTGGCTATTACTGTAGTCATCAACAGATTTCTGGTTCTTTGCCATGCTTGAAAAATTAGATATGACTAAAATAGCTTTGCAGGCGTACATGAGGCTCAGCTGTTAAAGGGAACATGCCGACCTTACTCCATTCGACACACTAGTGAATAGTGATTCCGGTACCGAAGATGAGAATGACCATGCAACACGGCACGTCAAGCAGACAGTCGACAAGGCCAGCAAGACTGGCAAGTACTTAGCCCAGCAGTATCGCACCGGTCACCAACATGCAAAACCAATCGATCACGATAGAAAACTGCAAAACATCCGGACATGTAACAGGCAAGGTTGGTGTCAAGCTCAGGTCCATCAAAAAAGAAGGCGAACAAGCGATACAATTGGTTGTAGTCAGCGAGGATGAACAGGACTGTTCCTGTAATTACCCTTTGTTTGGCTGGTACAGGGGTCGTGTATGAGGATTGTAACATCATATCGTGTATCAATAGTACTTCTTTCAAAGTTTCCAGTTTCAAGGCTGTAGATATTTAGAAACGCGAGGTTGTTCGCGACCCCTTCACGCGTGTTACAATAATTGTTGTGAAAAATTCTGTATGTGATGCATAAAAACGCATTGTGTTTAAGAAATTCAGCAATGATACACGAGGTCGAACGGTACTATACGTAACTGCAAAATTTGAATGAGAATGAGGATGAAGATGGACGCTGGTACCAGCAATAGATCAGTGAGTTGACAGTGGAGGAGATAAAGTCCAAGAAATGCAGGATAAACGTGTGTCATGGTCAGTATATAATTGTAGCTGACTTGTGTTTGACTAAAATCGGTGTATGCGATTCTGGAGGCGGTGCTTGCATTCACAAATGATTTTTCGCCCTTTGCATTAATACCGAGGGTCAAGGATCTACAGCTGGAAATGCGATAACACTAGTTGGTGTGCGGACTGACGGGAAAACCTAGGTAACCTTTTATGAGCGGAACCAAGGGCGGTTGCGTAGACGTTTGAGGTTGTGGGGTCAGTCATACTTTCTTGTGATCGCGATGCTTAGCTGGTGTGCCTCCCTGATGTCGTCGACAGAATTCAATCCTAATATGGAAGGCAGTTGAATTATGGAGAAGACATTGTGATCCATTCCGCCTTGCGTGATATGTGATGTCGGGTCAAGTTCTTCGTATCGTCCCGAGGACAAATATCTATGATATCACCTGATGGCCCTGCCAGGGGTATTATAGACTCATGCTATCCGTTCGACGTATCTTCCCTTACCACTCCTACGCGATGCCATCAGTTCAGAAAAGTCTGGAGAATATGGATGTTAGCATACCGTGCTTCGTTTTCAACCTCTACCAATTTCTGTGCATACATCTCTGCGGCACGTCGGTTGATGTCGCTTGTCTCTTGTGTGTCAGGGAAACCGATGTCCCAGTAGCCGGGTGGTGTCTTGGCACGATACCAATGGTGCCGATGTCGTGATATCTCTTTCTTGTGGTGTTCGATGTCTTCGCGGTTTTCCTTACAGTCTGAGAGGCTGTCAAAGGATAACCGGCGTTTCTTAGTAGGCGTTGAAGAGGGTGAACGCCAAAGTGGTTTCTGAAGGGGCTTGGGCAGTGGTCCAACGCCTTCATAGTACTATTTAGGACGAATAGAGATTGAGTAACGATTTTGCGAAAAATGAGACACGCACACCACGACAACATTCACAATCGTCAGCAAGCATATGTTTTCGCCCCTCGCGGCTCTTGACCACTTCATCATACTGAAAGTCCACGCCGTGATTGCGTTCTTTACTTATAGTGAAGCGTGAATTGATAGTGGTCGCATCACTGTTGGTTTGAAATCAGGGAGTCAGGGAGCAGCAAGCATGGTCTTGTGGGGACTTACGTGGCCTGGGCATATCTCCCGCGTCTCTTGGGTGGATCTCGACGCAAGGTGATACTGTGTAAGACAGACGTGCCTGCATTAATAAGATTAATGAAGTTGCCAAAGTATGTAGTTTGATAGGCACGCACCGGTTGCTAGTTCTTCGCCAGTAGAGTGTCCATGTATCGGGAACGGGGGTTTGAATGGAGTGGCAGACCGCATCCCAACTTCCGTTGAAATAGTCGTTTCTCTACGCGAAGCGTGGAGAGTTGATGGTACCTCCTGCTGCCTGCCCATAGCATCAGAAGCTAATGCAACATCAGTTGAGTATAAAGACGCGTGAAAGCCTGTGTACGTACGCGTCTCGGACGTCTGCTTCTCCTCTTCGTCAAACGCACTCAAGTCCGGACCTATTTCTTCAAATTTGCGTCGTTTGTCGATGCTAGAGGCTCTCCGATAGACATCATAGTTACTATCCTTCAGTAACGGATGCACCTCCTTGCCACAATCGGAACTCTCGCAAAGCCACTGTTTGACAGTTCGCCACTTTTTGTAGTCGGTCTTGTACCTCTCGGCGGCGCGCTCTTTGGCGGCAAGTAAAGCATCATACCGGTGTTGGAGGTGTGAAAGTTCGGCCTGTAGAGATGATATCTTCAACAACAATGTGGACGTGTCATGAGTGTTCGAACCAGACATTTAAACGTATTGACGCATGTAACACGGAACAGTGAGCGGTAGTGAGCACGATCGTAAATGACCATTGTCTAATCAAGTATGCAGAATATTATGTAATGGTGACGTACTGAGTTGCAATCCAGGGCAAAGAAATGGCTAGGAAATAGACTGCAGCAAACTGGGCTATTCAATTACGGTTGAATTTTGAAAAGTTGATGATTATAAAGGGGATATCCGTATGTTCTCCGTTAGACTTGTACGGTCACATCCACCGTCATCTATCGTCGGGCCTGCGATCATCAGACGGAATCTGAAGCTTTTTACTACTATGCCTGCCGCCAAAGTCATCAGTGAAGAGCCTTTGGACAACAAGGACGCAAAGTGAGAACGTTATCTGTGGAGGTCAACTAATATCTCATTCATGCATAGATGGATCCGTCTCAAGAAGATTCATTACACTGATCAAGACGGAAAACAGGTATATTTATCATGCTCTCGGGGGCGTGACGATCTCGCTCATTCATCGGTAAGAGACTTTGGGAATCTGCTGAGCGCACAACTCGCAAGGATTCTGGAATAGACGGTGAATAACATCTGTTCTTCCTCGTTATACAACTGCACAAACGCTCGTCCTTTACAGGCGTCGCTGTCCTCGCTGTCCTTCGCTCCAAGACCAAGGCTTTCCCCCTCTCGACAGTCATTATAGAGCAATACCGTCCTCCTCTCGACAACATTGTTATTGGCATGCTACACTTCCCTACCGTTATCAATCTATTCCCTACTCATTTTGTTCTGTTTCGATCATAGAACTCCCTGCTGGTCTCGTCGATGCAGGGGAAACAGCAGAGGCAGCAGCCATTCGAGAATTGAAGGAGGAGACAGGATACGAGGCTGATATGACTACCGAACCCGAGTCCTCACCGATCGTTGTCAGTGATCCAGGTCTGTATATTCGGTCAGATATATTGGTGCACATTTAAGATAGTTGTAGGAATGACTAATTCCAACATGAAACTCGTGGTTGTAAGTGTCCTCCTAGAAGATAAACTCGAAACTCCTACCCCGTGTCTTGATGATGGGGAACATATTATCACTCGCGTCGTAGAGCTAGACCAACTCGATACCGTGCTCAAAGGTGAGTCTCGCTCTTCGATGGAACGTGTTCCTGACCTTGAAATTCTCAAGTATACGACAAAAAGGTGACATTATTGAGCAGGAAAAGTACAGACCTTCACTCACTCAACACCCAGGGCTTTGTAGTAGATGCTAGGCTCTCTCACTTCGCAGCTGGTTATGCAATGGCGAAGAGGATCAGTATCGGCGCATTCCCCTGAGATGCTAAGTCGGGTGGTCCTAATAGTACTTGGTCTCGCATGATGGACCGAATGATAGAGAAAAGTGAATCATCGCTGGTCCAGCATTCAGACTAGCGACATGTACAACACTGGCTAGCATCATACGATGTACTAGTGATACGATTTTTTTGCGCGTTCAATGTGTGCCCTCAACTTCTGCTGCTTCTCCCTCAAGGACGCCTTCTTCTTTCCCCGTACCGCACCGCTGCTCAATATCATCATAATCGGCTTATTCCTTGCCTTCTCGCGATTTGTGGAGCTGCTTGGAGACTCTTTATTTTTCTTACCCTTCAGCGAGCCGTACTTTTCTCGCCCTTCCCGACCCTTTTCAATACTCGCTATGCGTTCCGCATAGTCAGCTTTAGCCTTTTTGCGCGGACCAAGGATATCGTTCTCAGAAATGAACGTGCCATCAGATGGCCCAGTTTGCATGGCCCTCCTGTTAGCTTCAAGGGCTTCCAGCTTCCGTTTCGCCTTGGAGCCACCACCTGATTCAATGGCTTTTGTGGCAGCCTGTATACGCAGGTCATTCAGTAGTGCAAAGTCTGCCGGCGTAAGGATCTGTAATACATGTCAGAGTGTCGCACGAGGGGTAGAAGGAATAACAGTTCACTTTAGTAGTTGCCAAGGTTGAGATTCGATTGGGGTTTGGATCGATCCCTGCATCAGCCTCCCCAGGCGGCTTAGGAGCTGACTCCCGCTCGTCTTCACTATCACTGACTTCTACGTTATCACCTTCTGAGTCGACATCTATCCATCCTTCAGACTCAGATTCAGAATCGGAATCGGTTTCGACATCCCAGCCTTCCCAAGCGGCCGCTTCATCATCCTTCCCGTCATTATTGGCACTGCCCATCTCCTCTTCGCGAAGTTTCTGCAGGTGATCTTCCAGAAGCTGTCGAGTGGTTCAGACATATTTTTGGTCGTAAAAGACATCCACATTACCATTAATCCTTCGATGTCGACTGCAGCATCCGCACTGTGTCCAAACGGCAGTGGTTGACCACCTTTGCTCATACCTATACTGGCATCTTTTCCCTACAAGAATATTCAACGTTGGCAATGGAGAGTTGAAAGGGAACCGCTTACTCTCTCCCGGCGTTTGAGCATACCAGGGTTCACCTCTCGGTACAACTGCAACAATCCTCTTGCAGCAGCTGTAACTGCCTTATCTCGACTTCTCCTATACTCTATAAGATCACCCAACAGATCCTCCTCCATTGCCCATGGTTGTCTTCTACAAACCTCCCTGATTGAGTTGATTCCTGCAGCAATTACCTCGCTTCCTACTCCAGGATGCACAAATTCGGCTGCAAGCTTCTGCACGACCGGAGTCAAGGCATCTGGTGGCGTAAGATCGTGGACAGACTGCGCCAGCGCAACGAGAATCGACGGGACGCGAAGTTGGTGGTAGGTAAGGTATTTGACAATGTAAGTATAGAAGCTTAGGACGCAAAGTTTATGAGCGCCCATCACCCGCGAGAGGAGCTGCATGATGAGAATTTTATGTTCAAGTGAGAAACGTTTGTCATAGCGACTTAGGTTATCATATAACTTCTCAGCAAACGTCTGTGGGTCATTGAGAAGTTGGAGCGCCGGAAAATTCGGTGTCGTGGGGGCATTTTTGTTATACTTTTTCTGTATACGGATTAGCAATGAGATGGAGCCAGAAAAGCATTTCTGAATAAACGGGGTACCTTCTTGGCAGCATTGAGCTGTTTCTGAAGCTTTTTATCATCGCCCCGTCTCTTTTTGTTGACTTCGCGACGATGGTGAAGAGCTCTGACATCAGGACCCTGAAACAAGTGTGAGTGATATTCTGGCAAGGCAGACGTTACCTACCTCCTCATCCTCATCGTCACTGTCTTCCTTTTCGTCGTCACTTCCTAGAAAGAAATGAATCGAAGCACTCTGTACCTTCATCACGGGATGAAAGCATCCAAGCGCAACGATAGACACAGGTTTAGCGTCAGTCCTATTGAGGATGGAAGTCAATTCTATCTAGCTGCATCAATGACAAGTGGCGTACCATATTCCCTTTCGCCACAACTCTTTTGTCAATATCACTGCCCACATAGCGTCCTCCCCATTATTGGCGGTTTTATCACTCGTGGGACCTGCGGATCTGAGCTTGCCCTTATCCCCAATGACTTCAGCATCCATTCCCCGTTCGACCATGGTGAAAAGCATGGCTTGCACAGCACGATTCAGTTTGTGATTTTTGGTTCGGAGGTTGGCAGTACGGATATCGGAGAGAATAGTTTTGCGGATAAAGGCTCGCAAAGTGGAGGAGGTTGTACGAGGGAGGAGCGGAAAGAGGGACTTGAGGAGTCTATATCGAAATTTTATTTAGAGGACATAATCCATCAAGGCACTTACTCGATGGATGTAATGACATCTTTGTTGCGCAACATGACAAGGTTTTGAACGAGGGTTTTTCTGGTATCGGGCGTGAGGGTGCCATAGTTTTCGAGGAGAAGGGTAGACAAATGAGATGGAAAATCTTTGGTTTCCTTGGGATAACATTGTGCGACCTGAAATTGCAATGTCATCAGCGAAGTAAGAAAATTGTAAAAGATCTTTAAGACGCACTTGAGATATGAATGAGACTAGTTCACGAAAATGCTGAGCCTGTTCATCAGGATTTATCTGAAATATCTGTCTGATACTGTCGTAGTGGTTCCATTGCTGTAGGAACTCTTCCTTATACGACACTGGGTCACGTTTGATGAGGTTTTGCAACTGAGGGAGATTTGAGGTGAGAAGGACGCCACGACCACCCATTACAACAGACAGTTAGATGCTGCGAGTGAACAGCAGCGACAATAGACAATCTCCAAGGAGAGCTCGAGGAATATTTGCAGCTTACATCATCTGTAGTAGAGTAGAGAACCTAATTCTTGTAATCAATCCATTGTAGTAATTGTGGTAAGTAATCCAAGCGGAAGAGTAGACTACAATGCCCCGTTGAAACTAAAAGCATCACGCAAATCGGAAATCCGAGCTTGAGTTTTGGAGCTGTATTGATTCGTCACTTTGATGCCAACAGAAATTGCACTGTTACTCACCTCGAAGCTGTGGTTGATGTAGCAGCATTCATGTAAGCGGTCCAGAAAGACTTGCCAAAAATTGCTGCTTTCTCGCGCGATTTTGGTTCATCCGAGTTTGTTATGAGCTCTTCGAATGACACACGATCTAGTAGAGTAAGTCTGATTATCTACCATTCGATTGCAGATGCTCACCTTCTATGTCTATAAGCGAGAGAAAGTGGATTGTTTCTGTTGCGAGCACATCATTTTCATGAAGGACATGTTCTTTCGCAAGCTTTGAATGTAAATCTGCCAGTAACTTTGTTTCGACAAAAGCACTCTCACCTTTTCCCTTACCGCCAGCATTGACGTGAGACGCGCCTGATTGTGGTCCTGCGACTCAGTTGTGGTTGTGGGCCCTGTATCTGCAGCGTCTTTTATCGGTTCGAAGTCGGACACGGGTTCAGCTTCGTCGTCGTCTTTGTACAACGGCATATAAACCGATGTGCTGGGACCAGCCTTCATCTTCCCCTTGGCTCTCGCGGGAGCCTTGGAAGAAACTACGTTCTTCGCAGCTGAACGTGATGGTCCAACGCTGGGGCCATTATCCCTAAATGTCAGTTCAACGGGGAGGTTGCCGCTGAGGCACGCATCCGCTTGCGGACCAAGCTTGACCATAACATCAGGTCACCAAGCAAACGAAGACTGGGCCTTAATTACCTTCAAGTAATCATTGGTCCAGCCAGACGCCGAAGCCTCTCGTGCGATCGCAAAAATATCAGCGCCTAGCATCGCACTTATTATACGGTCGCCATCCACTCCCTTGCCCACCCCAAACAATGACAATTGGTCATGCCCACTCTCACGAACCTTCGCCCGGTTCCGACCCGCGTATACATCTTTGAAATGTCCGAGGGCGATCCTATCCATGGAGGCTGCCATCTCTCCGAATAGTCGGATTGCCTGCTGCGCCTCCAGGGTGTACAGCTGGCGAAAAACTGTTCCACCTCTCGAACAGTTGTCACAACCTTTCGGGCAAAGGTGGGAATCGAAACGCTCGTTGAAATGCGCAAGGATCAATGATCGTCGACAGTCAGCCTCGTTGCGGCAATACTGAGCCACCGCTGAGAGATCTTCCAGTTGTCGCTTTTTCTCCTCCGGAGTTCGAGCCGGTCCTTTATCGTTGCGGTCGCTATTGATCAACTGATGTCGTGACACAGCGTCCCTGTGTGCATAATCTGGAAGAGTATAATACATCAGGCAGCGTAGTGTAATCACCATCGAAGTCGCTTACAAAGAATGCAGTCTGCCGGATCGCCGTCGCGTCCAGCGCGTCCAGTTTCCTGGTAATACCTGAGACGGTAAGCAACTTCTCAATGAAGCGTACTTGTAGACTCGTGACGTACCCATCCATCGACTTCGGTAACGTTGAGTGGATTACGAAGCGTACTATTCGATGCGGTCAGACAAAGGCCGGAGTGAACAAACACAACTTTACCATCCGGTTTGTCGATTCCCATCCCAAACGCGATCTAAGATAACGTCAGAACTCAATGATGCCACACTACGAGTACCACACCGTTGCTACAATTATCTTGCAGCTGCCACTTTGCCATTCTTCTTGAGTGGTGCTGCGCTCTTGTGAGTCCATACCGGCATGGTAATGTTTGGCAGATAAGCCATAGTCGTTTCGCAGTTGCTCAGCAAGTTCCTCACACTCCAACTTCGAGAAGCCATACACAATGCCAGTATGGGTAGCATGCTGTGACTTGATGAAACCAGCAATGGCTTGAACCACCTTCTTTTTCGTGGACGGTTTAGGCTGTACTGCATAGTACAGGTTGGGGCGGTTGAAAGACTGCATCAGGCATAAGGGGTCACGTAAACCTAAGCGTGTACGAATATCCTGGATCGCGGTCTTGTTCGCGGTTGCGGTGAGTGCCATGATGGGCACATCACGGTACCGCTCACGTAGCATATGGAGCTCTGCATACTAAAGATACAAATAAGAACTTGTTAATGCACTCATGGACCAAATTGTGCAAACTTACAGCATCGCGAAAATCCCGCCCCCAGCTCTGAATGACATGTGCCTCATCAATGACAAAGCGCGCGATTTGCTTGTCTTCATACAGTTGGGCCAGAATATCTTGCATGGCATTGCTCTCGCGTAGCTTTTCGGGAGTGATATAGCAAATGTCAGGTTTCTGCTGGCTTCGAAGGCGACGCATGACATCCCGCGAGTCGTCTACGGTCCTTAGGGAAGACATGCAGTCAACATTAACATGCTTCTCTCGCAAGGATGCCACTTGATCGGCGATGAGTGCAACGAGTGGTGATATGACAAATGTTACTCCCTGGGTCCTACCAGTCTTACAGACTGCGGGAAGTTGATAACAAAGACTTTTCCCACCACCGGTGGGCATTAGGACGAAGACATCCTTTCCGTCCAGCGTGGCGTTGATAGCTTCAAGTTGGTTTTGCCTGAAGGAGGTCAGCCCAAATACGCTCTTCAAGACCGAAACTGCCTCGGCATAGTAAGGGGTTGATGTATTATCGAGGCGACCGGTGTGCACTGAGGGAGTGCATGGTGCATCTGCACAATCGAGCGTCGGAGTAGTCGTGGTTAAGGTATCCAGTTGCAATGTTGAGGGCTCGTCAAGGCCCTCCCAAAGATCATCACTGTCAGGTACAATTAGGGTCTCAGCCGATACGTCAGTATCTTCTGGCTCAAGCGGGTCGTCGACATCGATATCTTCTGGTTCGAGGACACTCCCAAAATCAGTAGGCGCAGATGGCGCAAGAATAGATGTAGATGGAGCTAAAGCCGGCTCGCTGACAGGGTTGAAGCGAGCCAGGCGTTCTTGGATAGCTTCGATGCGACCTTCGATGTGAACCCTACGTAGAGTAAGCGGGGAAGTTCACACAGTACAGTACACTCACAATAAAAACGAAATTTCGAAAATGTCTAACGGCTTGTTCCCGTGTTCTGATATTGCTGCGAGTAAATAATCGCGGACTTGACGGTTTCGAGCAAGTATTAGTTCCAGAAATCCTCGCGATCGCTGTTAAATATATATCAGAGTTACGGGGATGTAAAATAAGAGACAACAAACGGAGTCTAGGTCCATATTCTTGACGAGGTGAGTACCGGCATCAGATTGTGCAGTTTCTGAAGAGGCTGGTAGTGCAGCAAACAGATCAAGGCGAGATGGCAAATTTGAAGCAGGGTTTGGGTTCGATGCTTCGACATCGCTTGGGATTTCAGGCGTCCGTTGTCGAGGAACAGCGCGAGATATTCCCTTTGATGACAAAGAAAGGGTATGGAAGATATTTTCTTTGTTGACGCGATTACTTTCCTTGAGTCGCTTTGAGGCTGATTGTTGAGCTCCGTCGGGGACATCAAGGGGCTGACGCTTTCTGGAGGGTACTGGACCTTCCATAATCTCGATGGTGGGTTCACGACATAAATCGATTAGATCCCGGTGAAGCGGAGCGGACAGTGGTGCTGTACGAGGGTTCATCATCTTCCTGCCAAAATTTGGTGTTGCGAATGATGGAAGTGGAGAACTCGAGCCTGACGTTTGGCGAACTGCGAGTTAATTATATAAATAACTGCAGTCTTCGTCATAGATATATACTTACCATTGGGATTTGAGGAAGAGTGGGAAACGCCCAAGGCTGGCTTGAACTTTGATGATGATGAAGCCTGACAACAGGATCAGAATGATGGGCAAAACAATGGCCCGCTCGAATTTGCAATGGCATACCTTTGGCAATATGCTGCTCGAGATCATGTTTGCGGTCCTCCTAACGCTGTCTAGGTTATTCTGTGTCCCCGCCATCTTGATAACAGGGATGAGCAGATAAGAATGACCGGAGGAAGTACTTGATGGCAGGCCGACCTATAAGTTGTCGGCGTGAGACGAGTGGCTGAAAAAGTCAGTGAGACTGGATTGATTCAGATGATCGATAGCGATACGAAAAATTGCCTCGAGGTCAAGTTGTAACGCGCGCGGGTCACGAATTCGAATAGTCTAGCAGCACCAAGAACGGCTCTTGTCCCATTCATTAACGTAAAGTCTGATGTTCGGCTCGTCCCGATTCCCGAAGCGCGTCAGTCACACGTGACCGCGACGTGCATATTAGAGTCGCGTTCATCATCGACGACAACACCAACGTCAACGATCATGTCAGGGCAATACTGGTTCCCGAATATGCCAATACCAGAGATTATGACGGCTCTATCAGAATGGGGATTGAGTGTCAGCAACGAGCAACTCGTCAGGCCCTCCTCTGACTTTGTCACTGGCGTGTACAACGCCTGCTTGGAGCAAGTCACGTCCATATCCCCAAACGTGCTTCACAAACCAACCCAACGTGCGCTGGCCTCTCTCGATGATGCCAACCCCGTGCGTGCGTTGATTATATGCGTGGCCATCTATATCTAATTGTGCGTACTCAGGATCTCTACAACAACGCTATCTCACACAATATCATGCTCTACCACCTGTAAGATCTGCCCTCTCTTTGTTATGTTTGCTGACACAAAAGCGAGCAGGACTCGCTTTGCCACTTCTGCACGCATTATGGACTTCAGCTCACGAGACCTGTCCGCACCAGAACCGGAGCGTACACGCTTCATTCTCTCAGCATTTATCAACTTTGTCAAGTTCGCAGAGCAATGCACCACATTTATCAGCAACGTCCGAGAAAAGTCTGCACAGGTCATAGAAGAGCGCGAACAAGTCATCCAGGAACTCTCAGAAGTTCAGCACAATCTCGCAGTGCTCAAGTGAGATTCTTCATTTCTCTCTAACATCCCCTTAGCTCACGATTCACAGAGCACAACGTGCAAAGGACGAGCCAAAATGCGAACAGCTCAAGGAAGAGAATGCAGCCATGACCACCCAACTCCTTGCGGCCAAAGAGGTTCACACAGGACTCACCAAGGAGATTGAGAGTCTAAAGATTGAAAGGGCGCATCTCCAAGCTCGAAACGAAACTGTCAATTCGGAGTCTGCTCTCCTAATGGACAACAATTCCCGTACCCGATCGCGCATTGTGCAGTCTCCGGAGCGTATTAGGCGTAATATCATGACTATGGGGACCACAGCTATCGAAGATAAAAAGACGGTTGCATTGCACGAAGCAAAGGCACGAGATCTACAGGCCAAAATTTCGGCGCTCGTGAATATCGAAAAGGTCATATTCCTCGCTGTTTTCAGTGTGATTTTGTCTTAATTATCCAGTCAGGATGTCCGATCATGTATTGAGCAGCTACAGACGACAGAAAAGGAGGTACAGCTCCTCGAAGGATCACAAAAGGAACTCGCAGAACTCAAAGACAGTCTTGAGTATAAGAAAGTCGAGCGCGGCGAGCTGCAGAAGAAAACTGAGGTAGGTCATGACATATTCTGTCAATTGCACCTGCTAATGCGTGCTCCTCAGCGAGTACATAAGCAACTTGGAAACGCGCATGAGAAGCTTGAGAGGGCGCAGAGACATGCAGAAGAGAAGCGACAGGCCAGTCAACAGACAGTTGAGCGCCTCCAGCGAGATTACGAGAAGATGGACATCGAGCGGCGAGAAAACGACAAGCAGGTGGAGGAACTCAGGATGGAAGCGGGCGACATAGAAACAAAGGTGGGTCTTGGGTCTTGACCCTCTCACCCTTGCTTCCTAATGGTCCTTCGCAGATGGCAGAGCATCTGAAGAAGAGTGAAGCAGAACTCAACGAGCTACTCACAGATTATTGGAAGCTCCGCCACGAGACAGGTAATTTTTTTTACTGTGTTTACATTTATCACTCAATGGTATCCAGAGGTATACATGGAAACACTCGCGAACAAACTAAACATGAATGTTTCTTCAGATTGAGGAGTGTACCTGCCGGGCCTTGAAGCCTCGTAATATGTAGGTCAACTTGGATTTATGGTATTGTATCAATTACATGGTCAGTGGCAATAGGGCAGGACGAAATCATCGTTTTTTCCCTTTCTGTGTCATTTTTAGTAGGCAATTCTGGCAATACCATTTCTTTGTTGAACTGGGGACTGCACTAAGGCCAGTACACGGCAAGTGGAACTGAGAATGAGTGTTAGAAATCGTTAGGGGAACGCCTGATCGACCAATCCGCTTACCCATTCCAACTTGCAAGTATCGCTGTCACAAGCAATCATCTATAATACAAGCCATGTGAACTTCATCCAAAGTAAAGTCAAACACAACGCTACGGACCGTCTCGTATGACACCTGGTTACAATAACAATACCTCGGCTCATTCGGATCTGCTTGAGCTTGAGCTGGAATCTTCAGCTTCACACTCCTCGTCGTGCGAGTGGCTGGTATTTTCAATACTTCCTCGGGAAGTGGTGGCGGAGTCTCAGATTTTGGCTCCGGTTTCTTGCGCGCCTTTCTACCCCTGCCGGGTCTCGCAGACTCTGTAGATAGCTCTTCTGTAGATTCTTGAAGAAGGATGGTGGAAAGCTCTGGGGATAGTGAGGGCGTAGGGCTACGTTCCATACGGGTCGGGCGTACCCAGCGCGGTACGACAAGGTCAGGAAGAAGTATCGGTGCGAGATGCGTCCCTGGACGAATTCCAAGAGAGATGGATGCCTCTTGCTCCTTGATAGCTTGATCCAAAAGGCGGATATGTCGGTCAACCTGTGTGACAGATTAGATTATGAAATCGGAAGAAAAGCGGGAGTACCGTTTCATAAGCAGTTTGTGCAATATTCACCTTCTCCTCTGATGCACGGAGGGCCTCTTCTGATACCTGCGCGATATGTTGCAGCAATATCCGAGTTGTTTTTCCTGGAGAGAGTGGCTCGATAGATGACTCCAGACTTGGTGCGATAGAAGCAACAGGTCTTGCATTATGTGTGTCATTCAGTACTTCAACGGGCGAGTCAATGTTGACTTGTCCGTCTCGAGGTGGCAAGCCTGCTGCCTGAGGCGAATCCGCCTGCATGGCCTCTGGATCAGACATAGCTGGTATGATCATCTTGCTCTGCTTTGCATCGAAGATCATACCCCGCCGCGATGTAAGTTGTATACGCAGCGCAATATATTTTCGCACATTATCCAATAAGTCTGCATGGTAGGCTGGAAAGCACAGCTGCAACTTGATCATACACGAGGGGGAACTTAGTTACACGTACTGTTACTTTGGTCATCTAGTTCACGTATGAGTGTGTACTGGCGGTGAAGAGACAACGGAAGTTGCTCGAGTACTGCGACATCCAGTTCAGTGGATTGTTCTATCAGAATAATCTTGATTGGCGTACTTTCATGATGTTCCTCCTTGAATGCATCCCAAATCTCGAGTTCCTTCCTCCGTTCTTCGGAGTTATGTTCTTCTCCAGCAGTATCAGCATCCGACGCACGCTCTTCGTAGCGCTCCTCCTCAGTAGGAACAGCCTGAGAACGTCGACGCTTGCGAGACATAATAGTGTTTCACAAATTCGCGGACCGCTGCGGACCTTGACAACAACTGAGCACGTGACCTGAATTAGGGTTAGGCGAGCCTCGTGGTTGAATGCATGGCCAACACCAGCAGTGACCGCGGCTAGTTTCAACTACAAATTCTTGATTCCACTGCCGTTTCCTGTGGGGGATCAGGGCATCGTCATTCGCAATTTAAGGTTTCCAGCTATGGCTACAGAAGTTATCGAAATGCATATTATACTAGACGCCATAATCTGCAGTGCGTCTGGAACAAGTTTGGATCAAGGAAGTAGGTTAACTGCAGATGCGCATGCTGCATGCATGCACAGCATGTGACTGGCTGCCCGGAAAACACGCAGAGAACTCCCCCATAACAAAGGCTTTGTATTCAGTCTCATGATACTCCCGTGTCTTGTAGGAATTTCTCTCATGAGCGTATTTAACACTATCGTGAACCCAACACTGGGAGTTCTCGAGATAGCTGGTGCTGCATCAGGTGTTCCGTATGCCCAGGGGGCTGGGATGGCACTCCAAGCCATCAACACCGCTTGCAACCAAGTGGCCATCCACAAGGTGCGCTTTTCTCGCTTTAAAACTTACTCCGACTTAAGACACAACATCATCTCTGTCAGCGCAAGTCTGCCCAACTTGCTGACAGATGCACTTCGTTGCTGAACTTGATCAATGATCATGCAGTTGGACCCGCTAGCGATGAGATGCGATCATCCTTAGAAGACGCTGAATTGTGTGTCGTTTGGCTCCCTAATCTTCCTGTTGGAAAAATGTTCATACCATTGAGACAGTGTTCTGTATGCTGTACGAGACCGCATACAAAAGTGGTCACGATATAGCAAAGTGAAAAGTTTCTGTACGTGTCGCGGCTATCACGAGCTTCGATGTGCTCACGCAATGCCTTAGTCAAGAGCTCTCAGATAGAAAACGACCTGGATAGGTGCCAGAACGATGTGAACGCAGCTATGGAGCGTCTGCACGTAAGATCACTCCTGCTACTTGTGTTCATATGTTGAAGCTTTTGACAGGTCAAAAATCCCCTATCTGTCCTGATCATGCAGAAACAATCTATGGACCTCATGAAAATGAATCAAGATCGCATCGAGGAAAAGCTGGCACAGCTGATGATATCCCCACAACAGATATTGGACGCAGTCCAACGGCACAATGCTGGCGGTCGGGATGCCCTTGATCTCATGAGAACCGGTCAGGAGGCAAGTTCTGGTAGCGCTTGATGTTTCTCTTTCTTCGATCCTCATTACACCTTTACAGCGCTTGATACAACTATGCTTGCAATTGCCGCGTGAGAACTCCCAGTCACCGGACCGAACGTTACTTGGGGACCCGATGGTTGAATCCCCATCACCCTCACGTTCTTGCTCGCTAGAAATGACGGTGCAAACTCAGATACAATGTGCTTTGACAGATTTACGGCGCCTAACAAAAATTCCTCCGACACTCAAAGTCTTGAACAATCAGGTCAAAAAGGTCAGCGGATCCATTCCGATATGCTCTGGAACGTACAGCGACATCTGGCAAGGAGAAATGTTAGGAGAGAAGGTAAGCTGGTTTTTGAAGATGCTACGTAACTGGATGACTGATACCTCCAAGGTCGCACTCAAAACCTTGCGCAATATCACTGACCCTACGAAAGCCAGAAGAATGACCAAGGTATGTCGTAGTCTTCGTTTACATGACTCAACTATCATTAACGTATAGCGCTATGAGCACGAAATGAACGTGTGGGAAAAGCTTAAACACGACAACATTCTGACAATTTACGGTGTCATCACCAACTTGGGACCTATTCACATTGTAAGATCTTCCCCTGTAATTATGTTTATCACCTGATAAAAACTCTACGCTCCACGCAGGTGTCGACGTGGCAAGAAAATGGCAATGTACTAGAGTATGTCATGCTGGAATGCAGCACATCCCCATTCTTACTTAATTGCGCTCAGATATCGCATCAAGAACCCTGACATCAACCCCCTTACTTTGGCAAGTATGCTAGTAGCTTGACCATTACCTCGAAACTGATCTTGATAACACTCAGCTCGCACAAGCCGCAAGAGGCATCGAGTATCTTCATGGATGCAACATTGTTCATGGAAATCGTGAGTGCGTTTCTGTACTTCGTGGGGACAAATTGTTCTGACTTTACGAGTAGTGAAATGTGTAAGTCGCTATGATTCACAAGCAGATATGCTCGTTCACAGTTTCGGGTCAGAATAATATGCTGGTCTCCTCCGAAGTGCGTGACCTTCTCCACTTTAGTTAATAGGTCTGACTCAGTTTTCGATGCAGGGTGTAGTATGCATTGGTGACTTTGGGCACACGCAGGTCCTAGATGAAGTGCTCGGGAGGGAGGAATTCACCGCTTATACTGGGTCCTCCAACGTGCGTTGGAATGCTCCGGAACTCCTGGGTGGCGATGATGTCAAGCCCACCAAAGCCAGCGACGTCTTCGCGTTCGGAATGTCTATCCTGGAGCTTGTAACCAAGCAGGCACCCTATTCGCATAGAAAACGTGATCTCACTGTTATCATGGACATCAACGACAGACATTTACCTCTTCGTCCGACCGAGCCGGAAGATGTCTCGCGGTGGATGCATAGTGAACTATGGGAAGTTTTGAACAGATGTTGGTGTTTTATGCCTCAGGAGCGGATGGATCTTGGAGAAATCACAATCTGTCTTGAGGATCTCACCAAGTACCTTGGGAATCATCCAAATTGGCAGACGGAACAGGTCGATGTTGACATTGTTCAATGAGATGTTGTCCTCGCGTATATCATGATCCACGCATGTACATATGTTAACTACTTTATCAAAATGATCTCAGGGAGATCTGCGGCTTCATACTCTGCTGCACTGTGCCCGCGGCGCCTTCAACAGCCTTCCGAATTGACATCTCAAGTACTTCCCGCACAGAGGGGTCCAGCTGAGTAGTGGCCTCTTTGAAGGACACGGGTGAGCTAGCTGCCAGGGAAAGCAAGTGTGCTATGCCACTAGAATGTATGGTTGATGGAGGCATCTGAGATGGGCGTAGAAGTAACGTGATTGTTGGCAGCAGTACACTCAATAGACGGGAACCTGCACGATTAAAGTTCACTACTTAAACCAAATACGTGGGTACTGGTACTGACGTTGTTCCTCTTTAGCCAGCGAGACGAGTGTCGCAAATGTTTTCCAAACCTCGTCTATCGAGATGGCCTGCTGTTCTGACACTGTTCCGTCATCCACTCGAGGTACCATTTTGGCAACGTATTGGATTAGTGCGGGAAGAAGCAGCCGAACGCAGGCTCGAAGAAGTTCACTTCCAGACGCAGCGATTGCAAGAGTTTTGGCGCAGTGAACAGCCACAATAGCCATCTGCTGAACGCAAAATCGCTCAGCGACACGCATTAGAAGTATTGAAGAAAAAGGATACCTGGTCGCCCTCTTCAAGCTTTTGTGATATAAGGAAGAACAAGTGCTCCACCACATCACGAGAAACCGCCACTTGTGGAGGAATGACGGTCAAGATGAGCACCGCCGCGAGAAGGTTAGTCTTGACTTTTCTCGACGAAATTAAACCTTCGCGTCCCCTGTGTTGCTTTAGCCTCCCACAGACATGCAAGTATTTCGAAAGCAAACCTCATCTCATCCGCGTTCAAAAGACATGAAGACAACAAGCCATGGATAAGCTTCCTGTAACGTTCGCGGACACTAGGATGGCATGGAATGGCCAACAAGGATTTGAAAGCCGGAAGAGTGGGAGTTATCAAATCCGCTTCCGATGTTTCATCTTTCAGCAGTTCTGAAAACGGATTATGCAAAAGAAATCGCTGATGATATTTTCGTACCGCCATAGAGAACGCAGCCTATTCCCCGTACATCTTCTCGAACAACAAGTTCTGTCGTCGAGGCGATGAGATGGAAGGCACTCAGGGAGCCAGAAATCATCTTTGTAATATCAGACAGATCGCCTTCTGCAAGAACATGGATCATGTGGTGCAGCAGCGTAAAGGTTAAAAGACTTACTTATCGATGACGTTCCTGGATTGTGACGAGAGTGTCGAATGGTGTAGGCAAAAATCTTGAGACAATGAGTGGACACTGAATCGGGAGGAATGGTTGTGTTGCTTTGACTCTCCTTGCTGCTGGACTGCGTGTGAATTTCTCGTGAAGAACAATTTGTGGAAAACTCGCCTGAGGTTGCCTCCAGGTACATATTGGCCGAAGTGTTTGGCAAAAGTGGTCAGGACAACGATCAGGTGAATGAGTACCTCTGCAGATTCTGTCATAGCGATTCGGTGACTGAGACTCATGAATTCTTGAAAGATAGTAGGCTCCAAAAGGGCTTTCCCAGAATAGCGAGGTTCGAGAAGGCATTTCAGTGCCCCCAGGCAGGCAATCACTGTGTCAATTCGTGAACTGGTGTCTGGCGAGGACGTCGCGAGTGCTTCATATATAAGGCCGAAGAGGGGGAAGAAAAGGGGCGCTGGCCCTTCTGCCGTGGAGTCGATACCATTGACAGATGATCCCACCTCCTTCCCAAGGATGGCAGCTGAAATGGATTGATCGGAGCGATTCATGGCGTTCGCGACAGCTTGTAGGATCGTTGCCCAGGAAGAAGTGTAGTACTGGAAAAGTGAGATCCGTTGATAATAATCGATCGAGATTGAAACTTACAGGGAGTAGGACTACTTTACCGAGGCTTGCATACGACGGGTCTAAAGCTACCGCTGACGCATCGTGTATGAATTCGGAATCTGCCCGGATGACAGCATAATCGCGAAGGCTCGCAATCCATTGCGGTGCCAAGATCGATCTGTATGGTTTGATGACATCCAGAAGGTACGTCTGCTCAGAACTAGCAATTTCTAGACGAGCCCACGCCGAGAGGATAGAAACCCTCAACATGCCTGACGCATTTGGGCTCAAGTCCACAAAATTGCCCATAGTTAAATTGCCAGATTCTTGAAAAGCATGAATGTCTATATTGATGAGATATTTGGATATGCCTACCGTCAACCTCTCCGAGTGCTGTTGTAAGTTGTTTGAGAATTCTCCCCATCCGACTTACATCTTTGACAACGCCACAGCCAACAAATACTGCACAGGCATCGATGGCAGAAGACAAAATTTCAGGAGTGGAATCTGGAGAGAAGGCGGGAGTAAGCGCAGCCGTGATAGGTGCTTGATGTTGCTCAAGTAGGAGAGCGTCTGGATAGTCAGGATCTGGGGCCTGGCAAAACACCTGTTGAAAATACATGAAAAGAAAAGTGACAGAAATCACAACAGTGCACTACCTGAATGACATCGCGTAATACAACCAATCCCTCTAATCGTATCTCTGTGACATATGCTGCAGATGCTGTGAAGGCCATTTTGATCAAATCTGGGACACGAGACACAAGCAGGCCGTTCACTGGAATGCCGTGGCTACGAGCGAAAGGTATGTCAATGTGCTCTCTGCGTCCAAAGCGTGCAACTAGAGTGCAAATTTCGTGTAAACATCGCAGTGCAAATAATTGCGTCCTCCAGCGTGATGTAGCAACCATGGCTATGTTGCTTTGCCGCGTGTCATCATTTGACATGGATGCACTCAACGATTGACCTTCGTCATCCATGAGACTGTTGGCTGTATTGACCACTTTCTGGGAGGCATTTATGCGCAACATAATCCTCTGGCAAAGGTCAATCCAGGCGGATGGATTGTGAATCGCCGTCTGAAGTAGCCAACTTGAAATTACGTTTCTGACTCCATCGATCGATGGGTCACCGTCTAGCATTCCAAACAAATCCTCCACAAGGCTATCTCCACCCAATCGGGACATTGCTAGAGCGTCTTTCTGAACCAATTGATAAAGGGCATCGATTGCTGCGAGTTTTAGGCATCTTCTAGGTGAACTAAGGTGCCTTCTGAAACGATTCACGATCTCGGGGACGTCCACATGCTCGGGAGCAAACATGAGGAGATGCTGAATGCACCTTATAGCTTCTACTAGGATGGGCTCATCATCTTCCACCGAAAATTCGTGGACAAGGTCAAGTACGATTGTTCTCGTCCTTAAAGAGTCGTGAACATCAGGGCCGAGAATGGTGATGATTGCATCCAGGATGTAGCAGACAAGGGGGTAAGCTTGCAAGTCACCACCAATATTGGCGTTGTTCAGTGTCCCTCCCTCGGCCTCGTGAGTGTCCGACAGGTATATTTTGAGTAGCATTCCCAGGGTACTTGACACGAATGGAGCGAAGGCCAAACTAGCAGCGTTAATGACATGTCCCAGTGCGCGGAGGGACCAAAAGTGGACCAGCGGATGAGAATCATTGCTCAATGACATGAGAAGGTTCACTGTTGTTTTTAAGATGGGGGCTGCCGCAAGTCCACCGACATGGCTGTATAGAGACCCAAACGCAAGCGCACAACCAGCTCGACCTTGGGGATCGCGGTTGCTTACAATGTGATCAACCAACACCTTGGTTTGACTCGTCAAAAAGGAGCTTCCAGAAATGTTGGCAAGGCGCCCAATGGCCTCGCTACTAGCAGATCTTAGGGCGGGGTCACCATCCACAAGAGCATCCTGCAAGTGAGATTAAGAACACATGGCCGAACCACAGGTTAAGAGTAAACTTACTTTCAAGAATGCTCCAAGAGCTGAAGTGACTTGAGAATGCCCAAGGGTATCCTTAGATTGACGATGATACGAGATCATCGCAACACGCAATGTTCGTACGATGGCCACGACGCTATTCAACATTACAGCGGTCCTCCTCCCAGCGTTCTTGTCAAGCTTCGGAGACCGATTGGACTCTATCAAGTGACTGATTGTCCGCAGAGTGGTACTTAAGTCCTGGGCTGGCAGCAACTGAGAAAATAGTTCGATAGCGGCGTCACAGACTGACGACACAGGTGGTGGAGCATTGAAAGACCGGCTTTCCTCTTCTGACGGGTTTATCATAGAAAGCGAAAGTGTATCGTGCTCGCAAGCTCCTAGTATCGGCTTGCGTAGCTAGATGCGTAGATCAACATCGGCAGGAAGAATTCACACATGAAGTGTCTTACCAGGGCACTTATTGAGTGTTCGATAATATCACTGTTGCTGTGACCTCGGCGAGGACTTTCAGACGTTGTGCTTTGGTCAACCCCGTCTTCAGATATTTCAAGTGTAGTGAGTCCATATGCGTAACCATCTGTCATCTGCCAGATTGAAGTGAAACTACCGGAGGTAGATGCAATTGAGGCTTGCATTGCAGATATGTTATCGATATCGGGGCCCGCGAAAACAGTAAGGACGGACTGCAATAAGCTTGATTGAACAGAATCCGTCAAAGTGGAAGTTCCAAGAGCGGAGAAGCATTGGTATGCTCTACGTCGAAGAGAAGCCTCGCGAGTCCGAATAGATGGCCCAGTATCTTCAATCACCGAAGGTCCAGAAACTTCTTCAATACTCTGTGACAAGAACACATTTGAAAATGAGAGGGCATTTCCAAGCAGAGATGAGATTCTCCGGGCGACGTCGAGAGTGGTGAGTTGGCTATTGTGAAGCAAAAAACAAAGGATTGCTCCAAGTGCACTTTCACGGACATGCAGGAGAAACTTCCACTCGGCAGCTGACCGGCCTGAAACGTTGTCTTTCGCAGTAGGTTTCGGTAATGCATTACGCCAAAGTACCAGTAGCTGAGGTAGATGTGAGCGGACAAAATTTGGTCCAAGCAGCATCAGCGATGCAATCAACGTCCAGGCAACTTCGACCTCTACTGCTGCGATATGAATATCATGATCACTAGCGCGTTTAAGGAGCTGAGTAGCGGTGTCAAGAACGCTGGCTGACACATCAAAAGACACGTATAGGGGGCGATGGGGCACAATGGCGACAAGAGCTGCCAAACCATAGGAATGACCAAGTGTCCGGCGATCAATGTCCGAAGGAGCTGCAGGAGATTGAAGGGATTCAATGTCGCGTTGTAAAGACTCCGCAATCGCCAACATTGCCTTCGGTAGACGGAGGGGGGTAGAATAGCAGAAGCAACGAAGAGTCCAACTCGCATTGACACGAACCGAGTGACTTGGATGCGTAAGCAGCGTCATCAATGGTACAGAGACAGCGTCCTACGCCGAATTTAGGAATGAACCAAAGTTACAACTTCACAGGACTTACCTGAACCGGCGGGGGTGCATTGCCTAGTTGTTGCAACAGACCTGCAACCTCCTCCAGTGCTATTGTTAGGATGGATGAAGATGGAGCCACCTGCCCCGGCATTAATGCTGGCCATCTTTTCAAGTATGACGAGGAAAGATCTTGAATTGCAACTATTTGTCCCTGCTCAGTCAACATTCGTAGGGCTATTAGCTCCCGTAAAAGAGCGCCAACTAGCTTCCGGATGAAGAGTTTGTCATATCTCGTGGCTCCATTCTTGGGATAGGAGACGATCTCGGTCATGAGGTGACTGACAAGTAGGGAATAATTGGATTCTACAAATACTGGTCCGAGTTTTGCCAGTAGTGTGACGTAAAACATGAAGATTCCCGCACGGGTTTTGCGGCTGTGAGATTTGTTAAACTGGGTGGAGATTTGTGATAGCATATCTCCTGGCGTCAAAAGGATTTTGGTGTTTTCGGCTGCAATATGTGCAGGAGTAGAGATATCGGAGTCTTCTTGTTCCTTCTTGCCTTTTTGTGACTGCTCTGTGACTGCCACAGCACGTTCCATTTGGGTGGCTGCGAGCATATGTCCCGCTAGCTGCGCCAGCGATTGCGTTGTTACTTGGTCACTGTGTTCAAGACTTTTGACGCAGATGTTCATGATTGACTCCACATCTGCAAGTGTGACGGAGTCTTCGGGAGTATAGACGATCATTAAAACCTGCGCACGTTTCAGTGCGCAAAATGCAGTTCACGGGCAAGAATCTCACAGCAGCAGCAGCTCGCTGGACGGGGAGAGCTTTATCCGTTAAACCGTTCTTCGTTTGCTTGATTATGTCCTTTGCAAGGGAGTCGCTCAAAGCCTTCTTGGCTGAAACCAGGGTTTTCCGGAGCATGGTGAGCGCATGATATCGGACATGCGGCGACTTTGACAATAATGAGAGAAAAAAGCGAACAGCCAGTAAATGTTCTACGCACCGCAGATGACCTCAATGTTTTGATGGCGATGGTGGCGGTTTCAGCCATAAAGGACATAAACTGCCTCAGGCCATCAGAACACTATTAAAAAAGAGGGACATATCGAACCTGGGAGCCGAAGGCCTCCATCAACTCTCCAATCGTCCAGAATGCGGCGCTGTAAGCGGAATGTCATTCAAAAGTACTGATAAGCGTGGATTTTGTGCTGACATCCGAGTCGAATCCTTATCCGTGGCTTTGATGTCAGAGGCTGGCTTGAGCAACACCCTTAGCGTGTCGAATAATGACCTGGATTCTCCACGATGATACAGGACTAGAAGGCATCTTGCAGCTAGACTGCGAAGCGGACGACCAGGAGAAGGGTATGGCTCCGAAGGTATAAGCACCTTCAGTAGCGTAGCTTCTACTGAAGCTTGCGTCTCCTTGAGCGTTTCCTGTAAAATGTGAAATCGTAGGGAAATACAGTCATTATGAATTCACATACGGTACTCGCATGTCTGAGACTTCTTTCCAGATTCGACAACCACTGAAATAAGTAAAGCTCGCCACTGTCGGCTGTCAATTGATTCTGCCTGTTGTGTAAGTAACCTTTCACGTCTACTGCGAATTAATGTATGACATACCTCATCTAATTCTTCGATTCCCTTGGATTCCATAATCCGTGACGACGATCGAATTCGATAACTTTTAGCTGCAGCACTGTAGCTTGAGGCGATGTACTACTCGGCCAGTAAGTGATGCTCGTAGCGAATTCTAATGACGGCTTATGCCAGTGGCAGTACAATGTGACAAATTTAGAACGAATCATCTAAGCATTCAAGTTGCTGCATGATGTATGCTTGATCGAGCACACAGAACATGGATAGCGTTATCGATTCAATCATTCACATACAACGTGCAGTTTGCGAGATGAAAATGCCATACGCTTCGACAGTGGGGGGACACCAGTAAATATTCGATGGATTATACACGTAAATCAGTCAGTTTTCACGGATGCTCGTATCACCAGGTATCTGCCAGACGTTAGCCACCATATTGCGACACAACACAATCCCATTCCGGCCCCCTGCGCTAAATGAGACATAACGATTACGGAAAGTATTGCTCTGCGGCCTTTCGTTTGAAGTAGAATGGCAGCCTGATGATGCATTTCGGACATGGAGATCGCCAGGTAAGATAACACGGCAGCCAGAAGGAATTGCCATGTTGGCACCAAGGTGTGCCATCTGTGAGCAGTTTTATTTCTGTCAAAGAAGGCTGAAGTGTATCGTGCGGCGTAGATTATCCGGGCTGCCAGGTTGATTATGTTTGCGTAAACCAGAGAGACATCACCAAAGCCCGAGGCGTAAAATCCAATCACAGAAACAATGAATAGAACGGAAAAGCCAATGAGCCATCTGATAATTTAAATTGAGTCAATGTAAACGATGGTGAATGAAGTGCACACCTGCTTTGTCTTCGAAGATCTTGAGAAGTTGCGATGCTCGAGAAGAAAGCTTCAAGTACACCATTGATGGCGAGGGCAGGGATGTACCATATCCAAGCTGCGAGAACCATTGGAGCGCATGTTGTTAGGTACTGTGATGGGAGCAATAGGTGTAGAAAGACCGGAAGATAGATGGTGGCAAATACAATGACAAGGACGGAACAAGCTAGTTGAATGGAGACTAGTGACAGCAAGATCTCTGAGGCTTGACCTAGTGAGCGTCTGTCAAATTGTGCCCCAGTCGACGTGGATTTCGCCTCAGCCGGTGGGCACAAGGTTCTTGAAAAGTAAACCCTACATATTTCTTCTAGAGGTTGGAAAACTATTCGTGCAACTAGAGAACCTGTACAAAGGTTGGATCGTCACTATACCTGAAACAACCCAGTCTGGAACGATGCTCACCATAGTTTACAGCGACCGCGTACCCTCCTTGGTCCTGCAAAGGGCTGTACCAAGATAATACAATCTTATCTCCTTCTGTCAAAATATGTTTGACGATAGATTGCCCAGTCATAGTCAAAGACAGATGTAGACTGCTAACGTCAAAGTATTGTGAGGCAATACGATAGAATGCTGATCTGACTGCCGTGATCAGAGAGTTAACCATTGAACAGGTGGATGGACTCACCTGGAAGCAGCTACTTCGGATGACGGTCGTGTAGCAAGACGAGTCGGCCAGAAGGTGGGATGCCCCATCTGATACACGTAACTGACAAACACCACACTGCTGTATGCAAGTTGGCCCAGAGCAAAAGCAACGAGCGCGAATTCTCCGGAATCTGGTCTAGTCGAGTCGTAAAGGAGGACAAGATAAGTGACAAGAGTCTTGCACGTTATCCCGAGACCTTCAGCCCTCACTCTAGCTCCAGTGCGAACTTCACCCATGGCCCTGGCAAGTTGAGAGAAAAATATATGTCACTGAGATTATCTACATACCGATTATGCATGGGTTCGCTGAAGAGCTCGCTTAGCGCGGCGAACACATATGTCGATAACGCCACGTGAAAATGAGGCTGATGACGAACATCAGAGCTGGCAAGAGTAACATATGCAGCTGCCGTAGCTAGAGACACCGGAAGTCCTAGAATAATCGGCAATGTAGATAGATTTGTCGAAGCAGGTACGTCGTCGTTAAAAGTTGGCTCTTGAGTATGAACGGTGGCATTTCGCGGCCACGCTCTGAGTAACGCATTCCTGACACCTTCCCGGCTGAGAAACAGTATGGTGCTTAAGATAAGTTCAAATTGAATTGCAGCAGTCCCGTATGCTTGCGGGGAGGCTAATCGAAACAGTGCTTGATTCAGAACAAAAGTCAATAGACGAGAGCCAAGTTGGAGACCCATAAGAGAGAATAAAGAAGTAAGTGAACGTTTCAACAACCCGCCATCTTGGTCTTTTGAACGTCCTAAGGATGGTTGTTGGTCCATGGGTGAGATTTTGATAAGGTATTTTAGTAGTATAACGCGTAGCTAACCTAGCGGCCGGATTTACACAAATCCGACTCGAGATGTGTGTTTGGTCATGTTATGAACCAGCCTTGTTACATAATATGTAAGCACTTTGAAGTGCATATTATTCATTAACAGCATGGTTTAGGCTACAATCTGGAATCGATTATCGGTCAGGCCTTCTGTGCATGATTCTGGCGCCATTTGTAACGAATGTATAGTTATCTTCTTAATCCAAACGAGTCATAAATTACATGCACAAAAAAATAGCGTTCGTTCCTTCTTACATGTAATTTGGGGCTCAGCTGAGTCATCTATGTACTAAATCGGATGCTAAGTCCGTAGCGGAAATCTGCGATTAGCTAATGAAAACCTCATAGGAAAATTGACATAATCCCGGAGACACGTGAAAAGTGCATTGGCCACGGCTCTGACACGCGCAGTGGCTCAGTGTGAGTCAGAAAGGGGAGCACGTTGCGACGCTAGATACTTGCGACCTATTAGCTTAGTAAAAATAAAATAAAACTTCCCTTTCCCAGACAGTGAACTTCGACCCTCTCCCGTGGTGTTCGTGGTATATACAATCCACCCTCTGAGGTCACCAGTCTCCCGCTCAAGCGATGTTGGTATCTAATCTTGAGACTTGCCCCCATCATCTCCCCCTAGAATCTGGTCTTTGTAAAATACAGATGGATACGTGATCCGTCTGTTATCAATTCACATCCCCCCACTTTTAATCAAAACATCTGGGTACAAAGGAAATTCGTCTTCTATGCAAGGGGGAAGCACGGACTAGTATACGAGGCAGTACGAGCGATTGTAGCAGGAGGTGCCGACTCCATCTTTTGTGTCGGGCAGACAGATGTTACAGTGACCTGAGATTACTTGTAGTGGCACAACGGGGGATGAATTTCAGGCGGCTGAATAAACGTCCTCACATAGTCTTCGAGACCTGACCCCGAACACACCGATTCAATCATTCAATTTTCTGTGGCTCAGGGTGTGGCGTCTGAATGTGGACCTCAGTCCGACAGGCCCATGACACTTGTGGCAAGGATCATTCTTTTTCCTATTCGAAGTTCTAGCTTTTCCGTTCATCATATGCCCGGAAATTGGCAGCTATTTCACTGTCAAAGAATCAGATCCTATGGAAACGACTTTGTATTTCCGCGGGACCACCTTGGGTTTGCGGAACCACCACTCTGCTGAAGCTGTCGCGTCCAAATCAAGAACTGGCGAGTGACCTTGGCCAGCGAAGAAAATATATTTAGCATGGCGTGGAGCTGTGAGGAAGCAAGAGGAAGAAATTGCGGTTCGGCGCCAAGCGTAAATGGCGTGGTAGCTGATATGAATTGTGCCAGGCTTGTTTGTACTTACTGGGCGACGGGCGTGGAAGCGACTCGAAGCTCTTGGTTTTTCACGCAGTATAATATTCTTCCACTTTGGTCATAAGCGGCGAGAAAAAAATCTGCAGGAGGGGTGAGGAGGAATGAGTAAGTATAAGACGCATTCACTAACATGGTGTCGACTCCAACTAGTACTTGTTCAATGGGAGCGGCGGATCACGCATGTCATACAAGACCCGCTGTGACTGTCATATCAGTCAAATTATCATGCATCATGGCTGGCTGTTGCGCTGTCAACACTGGACGCGCTGCAGGAATGCCTGGTGATTGCCAACCCTACCCTACGTCGCTTTAATCACAGAATCTCGAATCCGAATTTGTCATGAAGAATCGATGAACCGATATGCCACCAAGCCTCATCAAGCCCACGAATTCTGCAAGAAGACAGAAGTATGTTTAGGCCCTTCGATGACGGACAAACTTGAATGATCAATGATAGATAGCCTTGAAACAAACGAGATCCTTTCAAATCCGGGTGAGGGCCTACTATCAGTTCTAGTTGATGATCGCGTTCTTTAACTCACGTCTTTCAGAAGTTCAGAACACATCGATCATCTCAGATCTCCCCCCTGAAGCCTGTCGGACCAGAAAATTTGAATCCTTCCAAGCCATATATAGAGGTATCCGAGGTATGCTTTTATGAGGCCACCCCTGCATCTTTGAAGGCGACGTGCGGAAATGGATCAACGATGGTGAATCAATAGAGCAACAGTCGCGTCACAAAGGCAAGCTCTCGACCCCTGTTTGCCCCCGCCGCAATAGAGGATAGACCCAAGCGAATACCGACCCGGATTATCATCTTGGCGGCCCTCATTTCAGGCAAGAAACGGCTCCGGTCGGCTTCTAAGATCACAGTAAGTGGATTCAGTCTGTGGGCGTCTGGACGGCTTTGATACAGAATTATATGCTCAGGAATCTATCCCATGCAAGTCTGAGCTTTACAGTCACTACTTACTAGCTGTCACCACGCTTGAACCCACTGGCCTGCCGTCATCTCCCTATTTTCGCGTGGCAGACCCCCAGGCCTCAATAATCGGTTACTGTCTGAGGACGTTATCGGGCCTACGACTAACGAGACGTTGCACGGCGATCACAGCAAAAGCATACGAGTTCTGGAACTGGCAGATCTCCGGCATTCTGGTGATGTTCCAAGCATAGTCACAATGAATACTCTCAGTGACTATCGAAACACATACGGTGCATGACACGTACCTCAATCCTGTGGAATTCCTGCAACGTAACGCCCAATTGGAGATGAATGTAATTCGATCTCCTCGCGTGCTCTGGCTCGATTGTCGCGCGTTTACTGCGGATATCAACTCTCTGCGACGCCCCGCCCCTCGATAATGCACGTTGCGCAAGTATGAATATTTTTTGCCGAAATATTCAATGAATTCGCCGTGCCCATCACTGAGAAGCCCTTTCGACCACTCTTGTCGCTCGCTTCCATTTCGGTGGAGTACCAGTAGAGTTCTGGGGTGCCAACGTGGCAGTAGAACGTGCACAATGAAGTGATTGTTCCTCAAGTTATTCTTCGAGTCACTCTTCGCCACCGTTGCTTCCATTCCTCGACGTAAATACCTCGCCATGGTTAGATTGCCGCTGAGATAAAGAAGGGTTAATTCGCGCCGTCGACTCGGAGCTGGGAGATTGCATTTGGCCGTATAGTCGCGAACTTGCAATTTGGCTGGCACTGGTCGTCGCACATGAACGGGTACCGCTTGCGCATGTTCTTGGTTCGAATGATGGCCCACCAACGGGCTCGGCAGTTGCCCTCAGAGGAGCCGAAAGTTCTGTTCATCACACCGTGAGTCACTAGTCAGGCCTTATTACCTCAGGCGCATCTGAGCGCTAACTTTCATACCAAATTCTCTCTGCGCAGATCCCTTCTCGCTCCCAGGCTCAAGCATCTTGGCACACCCAAATAAATTCCATCACTATCGATATCCGTAAGCAGAACATTCCGACGCAAGATCATGGAAACCCAGCGCCGCGGAGCGCAGAACACAGCGACGCTCCACTGCATTCCCGCGAGTTATGGGCCAGTTATGGGTGCCTGTGGATCGAGATTCTGTAAGGGCATATGATTTAGGGAATAGCGGGGTATTGATTGACGGGATCGAACCGCAGAATACTTGTGGGGGTCTCTTCAGAGGCTCGACTTGAGATGAATGCTGCACAAGGCGAGTGGGCGCGTTATCAGTTTCATTTACTTGTTACGTTCGTTCTCCTCATGGCCTTCGTGCGGAGGATGTTCTAGTATCCACGTTTCAATATAAGTCATAGAATTTGACCAAGGCATGAATTTAATTGAACTCAAAAGAATACCCTATGTCAAGTGACTCATGTTGGAGCAAATGGAGATCAGTCAAAGATAGCAAAGGCAACAATGCATCAAGCAAATAGACCTAAGCACAACGAACTACGAGTATGGACAGTGTTATATAACGGTACAGAGGACAACGCAAACAAGACAAAATGGGATGCATGTAGGTTGAACATAAGCCCTCCGTTTAATGTACAAAACAACATCACAGGGGCATGTCGCACGAAATCAAGAAGTTAAAGGGGTAAAAGGAATCCTTCGAGATGCTATACACCTCATTTAGTCGTCACCGTGATTCCGCCCATTGAGATGCCCAGAGTCGCTTGACCCTCCAGCCGAAGGCGGCTTGCCGTACATTTGAGGATACGGAGCGTAATGGGGGTTCATCATCTGCATCTGACCGTCAGGGCGGTGCGGATACATGTACCCATACGACTGTGGCGCATACGGAAGGAATGCGGCCGGAATGTACTGGGCCATGGACGGATATCCTTGTTCTGGGTCTTGACCTGGATGCCCATTTTGTCCAGGATGAGGCATCGGCGTAATTGCATAGAACTGGGGATAGTACGCCGGGGAGGCCTCACCAGGCTTGGGAGTCGGTGACCCCGGAAACTGGCCCGGGAACATGGAATACCCAATGGGCGCCATATACGCTGCCTGTAAAGGCGGCGAGGCCGACTGGGTTGGCACTTCCGTCGTGACGGGAATGCTGGGTTGCTCGGGCACATCGCCAATATCGGCATTGGTGCCTACGCGATCTCAACGACAGTCAGAACGAAGAGGAAGGAACCAATCAGATAAGAGCATAGGTGGAACGAATGGACGAGTGGCGTCTCAGAGTACTGCACAAATGGAGGGTGTATGATCTTACCTTTGCCATCGCGCTTCTTGTAGGGTCCCCTTTTCACGCCTTTTTTCCTCTCTTTGCGTTGGGAATCGACACACTCTTCAGCAATGCCATATTTGACGCAACGGAGACAAGGACGGGCGTCGTCACACTTCTTGCATGCCTTCTGGCAGTTTGTGCAAGCGTTCTTGACTTGCCTGCGCTTGGAGCGAAGAGGTTGTGTGGCAACTAGGCCAGGTGGGAAAGGATACATATGCATGGGCATGCTAGAATAACCATTGACGGGATGAACCGTCATTTGAGGCTGAAGGTCTGTAGACTGCGCCTCAGCGAGGTCGTCGCCGTCTGGCGTTTGATTGCGCTCCACAGAAGACATGCTGCTGAGGGCGAGAGAAGAAGAGACTGTATGTGGCGGCCCTGACTGCTGATGGTTCAA